TTTTTATTATTATTGCCAAATTCTTCTAGGGATTCACACACAATAAACTTGTGGAAATAGAGGAAATGCTTCTCATTTTCGGAGTCAACTTTTAAAGTAGATTAATAGAAAAAACTGGACCGCTTCTGATCGGAGTACATGGAAAGGAAATATCAACCAAATGTTTCTTCTAAACAACTGCAAATTATTAATTTTGGGTGACGTCAGGCACGATCCCACTGCCGCACAGAGCTCCAGGAACCAGGAAACTCGGGGTGCAGGGTCTGGGGGTGGGTGGTGATGGGGTGTGGGTGCTGGGGAGGAACAGTGGGTGCTGCCAGGACCACCACCAGCGGGTGTGGGATGGTGCAGGCTGGGCAGCAGCACCCAAACTATAAAGCTCCCAAACTATGACACATCACTTAGCAACAAAATACCGCCTGAAACACAGACAGAAATTAAAAAGGAATGCGATGGGAAAATCCCTAAATCCCGTTTACACTCAAGTGCACCCGGGCAGGGCGAGCGCAGCGCCCGCGGCGCAGGAGGGACCGTGCCATGAGCCCAGCAGTGCTGCAAAGCCCCGAGAACGGCCTCCAAAATTCCTTGTAAAGATTGGGAAGATTAGGCCAACGTTGCTTATAAACATGAGCAGTGCAGTAAACAAACGCCGTGTAAATAACCAAGTCGGGTTCGTTCGCGACTGAGAGCTGCGCCGAGCGCGCTGGTGTGGAAAGCCATTGTGGATTGAAGGTTTGGTTAAAGGCAAATGTACACAGACCTCGTGCACACCCCACCCTCACACGTACCCGCAGCCCCACGCGCATCCCCCGCTGCCGCGATGCGCCAAGTCCTCGTCAGCTAACTTGTTTACTGCTAACCACAGCCCTTGGAAACGACAAATATTCGATTTCATCTGGCACTGGAACAGATGGGAGGCATCAGGCTCCCAACGAGATAAAGCAAATCTGGGGAAAGCAGAGCAGCGTGGGCTCGTGCTGGGGTCAAGCAGTGTGCAGGGTCTGACTGCGTGCAGCGTCCCTAGGCTGGGACCTGTGGCACACTGAGATGCTCCATCCCATTGGGTGGCCACTGCCACCCTTCAGCTCTGCGCACACACTGGGAAGGGCTCATGAGTAGGGAAACACAGCATGAGGGTAAATCATGGAGCAGGAGCATGCCTGAGCACCTGCTCAACCTTTTGGGGCGTTGTTCAGGGGGACAGGGACACCACAGCAGTTGCTGCTGCTTCCATCCCACACCAGTGCTGAGTCCTGGTTTGGGTGCAGTGGATGTGCACAGGGAGTGGTGGAGAAGTTGAGCTACTTGCACACGTGGTTCTGGGATATCAGATAGGGGCTCACTTGAGCAGGCATCGCATTGAGGTGTGTGGGAGGGGAAATAGCATCAATAGGAATGTCTGAAATTAAGCCAAGGGAAGGACAGCTGCATGAGCCTCCGTGGTGCATAACCCATCGAGGTGTGCGTGCTGCTGCCCCAAGTCAGATCCCAGCAGCCCAGTGCACTGCAGGCAGGGCAGTGCTGGGGGCTCAGGGACCCCATGCTGCTCCCCACGATGCGCTCTGCATGGTCACAGCAGCAACAGGGCAGTGATCAGGACATCCCTGTCCCCACGTGCTCCAGCTCTGGCCATCCACGGAGCCCTTTCCTTGAAACATCAGTCCTAGAGTAGCATCAGAGAGATGGAGAACGAACTGCGCCCTCGAGGCAGTCCTGGCGCTGTGCTGGGAGCGTTTGGGAACAGATGGGTTCTCTCAGTCGCTCCGCTTAGTTATAATAACCCTAATTGTGTTTTGTAGTTCATTTTTCATTAGGGTCACTTTCACCTATAGGAAGTGTCTCTTAAAAAAGAGAGACAACAGAAAAAATCCTTCTGCTCTCCCAAGCTCATTGGCCGGGTTGCTCGGAGCAGCCTCACCCGGCATTATGATATTAGAAATTATTCAAGTGAGACTAACGCTCTCAGCACACAGAGCAGTGGCTCTAAGTGAGGAAATTAGGACTATTAATCACTCCGAGGCGCTAACAATTCCAGCAGGCCAGGATGGCCCCGTTCCCAGTGGGGCTTAATAAAATACTCAGGGTTTATAATAATAAAATAATATCTCAAATGTCGATAGCAACTTGCAACCCAAAGCGCGGTGCCGTTGGCTATAAATTGTCCCCCCAACACCATGCAGAGCTGAGGAAGGAGAGCAGCCTCTGCAGGAACTATGCAAAGCACTCGAGGAGCGAGATGCTGCCAGGCCCTGTGGAATTTGCTCTTTATCAGATAAAGAGGCAGGGATGCTGGATCCGATCCTATCGGGAAGAGGTGTCTCCAAAAGCCGCCGGGGGCTCTCGGCCTCCCACCAAAATGCAGATTCCGTATCCTGTCAGTGGGAAGGAAGAGAACAGAAGCTGCAGGGATGTGCTCAGAGCTGCCCCCAGCTCCAGGTGGGATCGGCTCTGTTCTACTGCAGCCCCAAACACAGGCACCCCACTTTAACCTCTGGTGCCAAACTCAGCTGCTAACAATCTGATTTAGAATTGCGTCTTCAATGGTATTGGTGCAACCCTGCTTTCCCCACAGTGGGAGCTTACATTTCTTGCTAAATAGTTCAGCAGCAGGGGGCTGCTGCCAAAAGCACAGTTAGCAATCAGGAAAGGGACTCTGGAACACCACGAGAGCAAGAGCTGCTCCTGGGGACACCGCGTGGCACAACGCGGGGCAGCACAGACACCCCCTGAACCCAAGGGGAGAGAAGAAGTGGGCAGAACCCCGAGCTGCTGAGCAGCCTCGACTGGGGGCAGAGATGCAACGTGGGCCACACAGCTCTGCAAGAGCTGGGAGCAATGGGGCAGCTGGGCGTGCAGCCCCAGGAGCGCAGCTCAGCACAGGGCGTGCGTGGGGAGGGGGTTAGCACAACTGCATGCTGCCAAGTACATAGATGCGTCTGCCTCTGATTTGCATGTTTATCTTAGAAGCAATTTAGGTTTCTCCTTGTTTACAAGAGGAGAAGTCAGCAGACTCTTAGAGCAAGAAAAACAACTGGGAGCCAACATGTGACAGTTGTCTCCTGTTCCCCACGCATGGCGCAGCCGGCGCGCGCAGCTTGTTGGGAAAGAGCATCGGCCACACGGCCCCAAGCAGCAGAGAGCAGACAGCAGCAAGCTAGGACTGCTTCCCCTCCCTTACACCCAGGCTCTGGAAGCACTTACCTGCAGAACACGAAGGCCTTGGTCTGTGCTAGTGCTGCGTGAGGTGTTGCTCATGGGAAGAGATGAGAAGGTGGAGGTGTGGCTCAGCTGTCTCCCAGCAGTGCCGCAGTCTGAACCCCAAGAGGAAACAGAACCAGAGGGATCCACAGCAGCACAGAGCTCTGCAGACATTGCTCAGAAGACCCAGAGGCAAACCTGCAGCTCTCAGCAGGCAGGCTGAGAGGCTCTACCTGCATGCAATTAGCAGTCTTACCCTCCTGGCTGCAGGTACCTCGCCCAGCCCCTCCATCACCAGTGTCCATGGCGCTGGGGGTCCAGGACTGCATTGTCCCCAGGGATGGATGGGCACTGCACTCTCATGGGAATTTCTGATATTGTGGTGTTTTTTCCTGCTGTATAAATGCAGGTGCCCCAGAAGCAAAGCGCTTTGCAGAATTTGCCATGACTGGCATGACTTCATTTCTAAAAAATGGAGCAGCTTGTTCTGCTAAAGCAACTGGGAGCTTCTCAGAGCACCCTTCTATTTCCTATTTCAATGCTTTCAAAACATCACAGCCTTTTAGCAGTAAGATCAGAAGGGATGCTTTCACCAATCCAAAACAAATGTTTGTTTTTTTCCCCTCCCAAAATTCTGCTTGGCAGGAGATTTCCCAGTGTTCTCCATCTCGCCCCATTTCATAGAACCAGACCCCGCTGGAGCTGCTCTCAGGCAGCAGAGGCACAGGCTGCTGCTGAGGTTTTCCCATGCACAGAGTAGATTTTGTTCCATTGTGCCATGGCAGTTCCAGGTGCAATGTCAGAGCATCATCACAGCGTAGGGCTGTGAGTACCAGAGCTCAGCAGCAGCACTGGAAATGCTCTCACCAGGCACAGCAGCACAGTGTTCCTGCAGGCAGGCATCCTGCCCTGCTCCTCTGCTCCCATCTTCTCCATTTTTCTCTGACATTTAGCAGGAGCATTAAGGAGAAGTAATTAGCTCCATGTGACAATGAGAGCACGCAGCGTTCATCCTGCCCAGAGATTTTCTTTGCTGGGATCTGGGGGTGTTGCTGCCCTCCTGCCCTGTGCCACCACAAGGATACAGTGCCCATGGGTCCCAGTGCAGCAGCAGAGCCGTGGGGAGCCACATCTGTTGTCCTCAGCTCCAGCCTGAGATGACCTCGTGCTTCTGCCAGCATTTAAACAAAATATTGTATTAAAAAAAAAAAGGGGGGGGAGGGGGAGAGGGGAGGGAAAGATCCCATTGCTTTCTTTGCTCGCTGGGCTTTCCTGAGCCTGGGAGCTATCTCTGAGGCTGATGGAAGTGATAGAGCATGGCCAGAGAGAGAGAGAAAGACAATGACATATTGCCCAAGTTTATTGCTTTTTAGTGTGATTAAAGGGAGGGTCTTATTTCCAGTCTGGGGGTTTGAAACATTTGAATCCCACCCAAACCTCTTCCCTTGCAGCCAGAATCACAGCTCCGTGGTATGTGGCAAAAATCACTCCCCGGCACAGAGCAGCCGGCTGCTGGCAGAGCATGCATGGGATGGGGATGGAAAATTCCACCATGTCTCCATTGTCCATGAAGGCCTGAGGGCTGCTGGGTGCAGGAAGAGCCAGGATCCCCCTGGTGAGTGGGGAAAGCTGCCCACTGCACACCAAACACAGTTGTGCGTTGTGCTGCTGCATGGAGCTGCTGCCCGCTCCCAGCAGTGCATGGAGATGCAGGCAGCGTGCACACAGCACAGCACAGCCCCAGCTGTCCATCTTCAGGACATGATCTTAAACGTGGCTTGGTGCTAGCAGCATGAGCAAGGCCTGCAGCAAAAAGTGAAGCTCACATCTCCTCTTCTTCCACCTGAGTGCTGCATTGGTGCCCGTGCCACACAGCAGCAGGGATGGGGCACAGAGCCTGAACCTCCAGGCACCTCCACACCTTTCCTTTCTCCCTGCAGGTACATCGGGGCGCTGGGGGCGAGGGTGATCTGCGACAACATCCCAGGGCTGGTGAACAAGCAGAGGCAGCTGTGCCAGAGGTACCCAGACATCATGCAGTCCGTCGGGGAGGGAGCCAAGGAATGGATCCGTGAGTGCCAGTATCAATTCCGTCACCACCGCTGGAACTGCAGCACCCTGGACCGGGACCACACCGTCTTTGGGAGGGTGATGCTGCGAAGTACGTGCTGCTGTGTGCCCATGCCATGCCCCATTGCAGGGTGTGAGTTGGGATGGGGGAGGAAGAGAACGGTTCTTCACATCCTTCCCCTGCATGTACAAGAAAACAATAACAAAAAAAAGAGCTGGGAAGATGCCTCGAGTCCTGAGAAATTGTTGTAATTAGAGTGTGTGGCTTTTGCTTGCAGAAGGAGCTGCGGGCGAGGTGCATGCATTCTTTGTGGAAAAATATAAAATGGAGAAAAACAACCTTTTCCCCCTTAAAATTATGTTTTGATGGGGAAAAAAAAACAACAAAAAAAACTAATTGGCTGTGCTCTGGATACTGTGGCAGAAGAAAACCTGCACATTGAGTGCGGTGAGAAAAGGGACCCAAGAGGGATCTGCACCCAGCTCACAGTGTCCCTGGGGGAGTCCCAGCTCCCACTTTGCCCCACTACTCTGCTGGGAGCATCCCTGCTGCTGTGCCCCCTGCCTTAGGTTACTGCTTGGGAGAGATTTGCCTTCCCTGTAAATTAATCAAGCAGTAATGGGCGCACACCACTGCTTTTGTAATAGCTGCACCAGAGGAGATGGAGCGGGGGGAGCACTGGGGGAGAAGGGAGAAGGAGGAGACACCTCCAGAGAACAGGCTCGTATGTAAACAGTAATGGGATATATAAATATTTGGAGAGCAGGGTTGGCCAGGAATCAGCAGTTCACGTGGGAACTCCCTGTTCCTCGCATGGCAAGGGAGGCAAGGCTGGGCTCGGGTGGCATCGCTGCTGCAGGCTCCAAGCTGGGGCTGCACCATGGGGGGGTCCTTCCTGGCACTGCAAGGAGCTCAGGGCACGTCAGCTATGATGAGACCCACTGGGAGAGGAGCAGCAGCCCATCTGCAGGGCACGTGGACACGCGTGGGATGGGGTTTGTGGATGCTGGGCAGATTCAGAGCAGCCCAGGAGGCTGCAAGGGCACAGCGCTCAGCCCCAGCATCACTGCAGCCCCACGTCCTGTCCCAGTCAATGAGCACAGGGGTTGATGAAAGCTCCTCGCCATACCCCATCCTGCCAGGCCTAGAGAGAGCTCAGTTCCCTTTGAAGTTGCTTTCAAAGGCTCTCCAAAAGAAGACGAACATGGTTTTGATTTGCAGCATCTTTTACAGCGTTATAAAACCAGCTGCGAACTCAAACCAGAGAGACAGAGCGCTGGGGGGCACGCTGGGCTGCATGGGGAGCCTGGGGGCCAGCACAGCTCCCAAAACCCGGCTCCCCCCATCCCACACCCCTAGGCTGAGCTGCAGCTCTGCACCCCCTCCCCATGTGGAGCTGCAACCTCATCCCAGCCCATTCCTCACCCCATGCTCTGTGCCCGTAGGCAGCAGGGAGGCCGCCTTTGTCTACGCCATCTCCTCGGCCGGGGTGGTTTATGCCATCACACGTGCCTGCAGCCAAGGGGAGCTGAAGGCCTGTGGCTGTGACCCGCTGAAGCGTGGACGTGCCAAGGATGAGCGCGGGGAGTTCGACTGGGGTGGCTGCAGTGACAACATCAACTATGGCATCCGTTTTGCCAAAGCCTTCGTGGATGCCAAGGAGAAGAAAGTGAAGGATGCGCGGGCGCTGATGAACCTGCACAACAACCGCTGCGGCAGGATGGTGAGTGTGGCTGGACACCTCCCAGGGCTGTTGGGGGTGTGTTTGTGGGGTCAGGGCAGGGTCCAGAGCTCCACAAACCCAAGGAGAGCACATCCCTGGGGCTCGTTTTGTAGAATCATAGCATGGCCTGGGTTGAAAAGGATCTCAAAGATCATCTCGTTTCAACTCCCCTGCTACGTGCAGGGTTGCCAACCACTAGACCAGGCTGCCCAGAGCCACATCCAGCCTGGCCTTGAATACATCTAGGATGGCCCCGCTGGTCGTGGCCACCCACCATTTCCCAGTCCTGATGTGCTCCCCCTCCTGCAGGCTGTGAAGCGTTTCCTGAAGCTGGAATGCAAATGCCATGGGGTCAGTGGCTCCTGCACGCTAAGGACTTGTTGGCTGGCGATGTCGGATTTCCGGAAAACAGGGGATTACCTGCGGAAGAAATACAACGGGGCCATCCAGGTGATCATGAACCAGGACGGTACCGGCTTCACCGTGGCCAACAAGAACTTCAGGAAGCCCACAAAGACAGACCTAGTGTATTTTGAGAACTCACCCGACTACTGCGTGATGGACAAGTCAGCAGGTACAGCCAAAATCTCCCATAAGCACCTATAGCAGCTCTCCCTGCCCCCCCGATGGCCTGCAACCCCCAGGGGTGCAGCACAGCACGGACCTATTGGGGTGCAGCTCTATGACTCTTGGAGCATCCCTGGGGCCAGGATGCTCTGTGGGTGGGGAAGGAGCCCCCAACAGCCTCAGTCCAGGGGGATCACTGCTTCCTCAATTGAGGCCAGGCACTGAGGGCAGCACGGAGACTCCTGCTGCTGCAAGGCTCACCTGCAACAAAGCAGAGTAAGCACGTGCAGAGCAGCCTGCTCACAGCCCTCATGCTGTAACAGCACGTCTGGGCACACCATATCAAAAACAATGATAAAACAACCCTGCCTGAGGCTCCAGGTGGTGGACACACGGGTGGGGGGCCGCAGGGAGCTCTCAGCACGGTGTAGGGGGGATCATTCTGACCCAGTTGTTTCCTCCCCTCCAGGCTCACTGGGCACCGCAGGGCGCGTGTGCAACAAAATCTCCCGTGGCACCGATGGCTGCGAAGTGATGTGCTGTGGGAGGGGCTACGACACCACCCGTGTCACCCGCGTCACCAAGTGTGAGTGCAAGTTCCACTGGTGCTGCGCTGTGCGCTGCAAGGAGTGCGAGGACACTGTGGATGTGCACACGTGTAAAGCGCCCAAAAGGGCCGAGTGGTTGGACCAGACCTGAGGAGACGAGTGGCAGAACCTGGCTGTAAAAACCCCCCGACCTTTTCCATTTTTTAAACACCTGTGCCCTGTGGGCCGCCGCTTTCTGGGAGCTGTAGTTTGACTGCATGGCTTTTATTTAATTAATTAACTCTGCAAAGCACTACGAAAGGACTACATTTCCCAGGAGGTGCTGTGGACTCTTCAATTTGCTCAGCAAAACAGAACCCCGTTCCCAGGAGGCAGCCAACCTCGCTTCAACTGTGAAACTTCTGCTGCCGTTGTTCTCTTCGCAGAGGGGCAGTGCAACTGACTCAGACTGAGAGGACTGACCATCGGGATGCAATGATGGAGCAGTGCTGCCTCTTCCCAACTTTACATTGAAGTTTCACCAGCAAAAAAACAAAACAAAACAAAAAAAACCCCCGACTGTTTCTGAATAATAAACTCTCGCAGACAGCATTCTTGCTTTTACCTTTCTGCAAGGCCAGAGGAAGGGTGTTGCAAAGTCTTCAGAAAGCTCCATATCTCCGTGCTTCCCTTGAGCAGCCCTGGCACGCTGTCCCCACTGCACTACTGACACTCGCTGAGCAACTTCTGCACAGTCTTCTCCCTGTGTCCCAGAGAAGATGACAAGCGGAGTTGTGAACTGTCAGCTGAAGCCTGAACGACTGCAAAAAGACAAAGGCTACAGAAGAAGGCCGTAGAAGTTTGCAGACAAAGCGTTAGAGAAAGCAAACGAGATCTGTGAACTTACTGGTAGGTTTGGAAGTTGACGGATACAAGAGCATCTCTCTGTAAAACTCACTTGTATGTTGTGTATACTGCTTATTATTTTAAGTCAAAATTCATTATAAACCTATATCAGAAAATGATGTTCTTTGCTTTTTTGAATTTCTGCATGCCCAGCTTTGTGCTTCCAACCCCATGGGACGTGACTGCAGCTGTCCCTCCTGCCCCAGGTCCCCCATCCCAGAGCACAGCCACCCCCTCTGCTCACCCCTTGACCCTCACAGCAGTGCCTCGGTGTCCAAATCCCATGGGGAATCCTCCCAGCAGCATTGTGCTCCAGGACACCCACTGGCAGAACGCTGGGTCAGGCAGGAGGTATTGGATCTGCTCCCACATCTTTCCCTTACAACACCCAAACTCTGGCTATCAGCTACAATTGCAGCTGGTGAGAGCAGGGCAGGGAGCAGCCAGGCAGTAAGTGGATATGTTATGGGGATTAACCCCTCTCATCTCCAGAAATTCTATTTTTTCCCCCCCAAACTTGCACAAGCACAGATAGATGCTTTATTCAGTACACAGATACTAATCAAAGAAGTACCCAGTCTGACCAACCCACACAGGCAGTCTTAATGCACAAGTAAGGGCACTGAACCCATTATCTAAACTGATCCCCCCCCCCCAGAAAAAGAAAAAAAAAGAATTACCTAAACCACTGCAATTCCTGAACATGTACTGAAGCTTCAGAAGCTCAACATCCTGAACCAAAGCTGCAAGGAGCTCACATGGTGGCAAGGTTTGGGACTGCAGCAGCCCCAGAATGACTGCACAGCCAGGGCTGGTGGCACAGCCTGACCACAGCAAAGTGACCATAGCTCAGCTGCCCACTGCCAGCCACTGTGAGCAAGTGAAACGTTACCTGTTTTCCTCATATCAATCATCACTGTGCTGAAGGCCACGTAATGAAATTCTGTGCCTGTTGGGAAATGCACAATGTGTGCTTTTATGCACACACTTCCAACAACAGGAAGGAGGAGCCTGCAGCAACATCCAGTTGTAAACATGTTTAACTCAAGTCTGTTTCACACCACTGCTGTCCCAGCAAGGTGTCCGACCTCTCCCAGCACCGACAGGTTCCTCCTGTCAGCATTCCTGGTTCCCTCTATGCAACTGCAACGTTCAAAGGGCCACAGCAGCAGGATGGGATGAGAACAAAGACTGTTCTGTTTCTGAGCCATTCACTGGCCATCGCACGAAGAATCACCTCTGAACAAGGGTTCTACCCAAGGCCCTAGGAAATGCTGCTGTGAACAGGGAGAGAAAGTCCCTTGGAGGACTGCTTTGATAGGAAGGGCTCAAAGATTTCACACAGAGGGGCAGCTGGGGGTACCTCACCCCAGGCAGGCTGTGAGGGGCAGAGGTCCTGCAGGACGAGCCCCGAAGTGACCCATTAAAGCACTGTGAGGATCCCCCTGCCCAGTTGTGCTTCCTGCAGCACCAACCCACCCAGCACCACCTCCCTTTGCAATCCCACACCGAAAGCACACGAGGGCCCCACTGCCTGTCCTCAGCACTGCAGAAGGATGGGGAGCAGCGGGTGTGGAGGCAGCCCAACAGCTCGAGCCCACGAGGCAGGAGGTCCTTCTGCAGAGGGCTATGTGAGGCTGTGCTTTCCTCTTGTTTATTAACAAGTGATTAGCAGAAGCATGAAAAGCACGATGCCCGGGAGCCAGCAGTGCTGGTTAACAGAACTAACCCCAGTGCTTGCACAGGAGGACGTCCCACTGCAGGCTGAATGGAAATCAGAGTGCTGTGTGTCTTCTCACAGATGAGGCCTCCCGAAACTCCCCTTCAGTGCACTCATCTTCAGAAAGCAGATGTTTTCCATCTATAAAAGTTTATGAAGGCTGCAGTCTTGTCAGGGAATACTCGGTTCCACTCACAAGCCCCTCTTAAGTAATCTAAAGTGTACGGAGAGCCTTTTATGGAAGATCATGTTCTAATTATCCTCCAGTCAAAAGCATGGCTGAACTCACAAACAAGGAGCAGAATTAATTGCTAGATGAGCTTCTGAATAAATTACCTTCTCTGAAGAAGCTGGGCAGGATGCACAGGAGGAGGAGACATCCAAAACATTGGACCTGTACAAACACAGGGCATTCTCTCCACCAAGCTACATGCAAGTGAGAGAGGGCTTTAGACCAGGCAACACCACAATATTTCTGGATGGGTGTACTTGTACTGAACAGATGGATCAGATGTTGACCTACAACAATCCAGAATGCATACAACACTCGGTTACACCCCAGTCTTAAAAACCCTTGTCACAGCTGTAGATGCCTCTGTTCACCATCACACTCATGCCTCTGCAGAAGGCAGTGCTCCTGCACCTGTGCCAGTGTGCTGAATGAGGGCTATCCCAGCAGCCACACTCCTGTGACAGGTCCAAGTTTCAGGGACAGATGTATCAGGGTCTTCTGACTAACATTTGCACAACCTGTCAAGGTCTGTGTTGGAACCTTCCTATCCCTTCTTACTGAACATGAGTTACGAAGGGCTGCTCCAACTAGCAGCAGGGAATTACTGCTCTGAAATCACAGCTGATGAGTCAGAATGGGAGAATGCAATAGTCACATACTCTGTCACACTGTTTTATAACTGATGATAGCCTATAGCCAGATTAGAAAAGAAATCAAGAGTTTGTTAAGAGAAGGATCCAAACTGATGAGGCTATGGTGTGATTGCACAATTCAAGGCATCCAGAGTAGAAGAAAATGTCATTGACCAGAAATAACCAAAGCAAGAAGATCCCCAATGGAGAGATGTATTCATTGTAATGGAAGCACCCTTACTGATGCAATGAACACGGGTGTGTTATCCAGCATTCCCCAGTGATTAGACTCACCTAAGGGCCCACCAAAAAGCAAGACACAACAATCGAAGCTGGAAATAAAGAGGAAAATTCCAAGCTGATGACCAGCATCCCTGATCACCGTCCTCTTCCTGCAGTGCTTAGGGCTGGGGCATGCAGAGCACGCCTCAGCTGGGAGGTGCAAGGAAGGGAGGAGGGAGCCAGAGTTCAAAAACTGACTTTCTCCCTGTCTTTATTGACATGTGGGTGAGTTCAGATCACAGCAGGCTGAACACAGAAGCCCACCATTACTACTGCTGCCAGTGTGACCTGATGGTTAGGGGACATTTCTGAACCGTAAGTAGAAGATCAGAACAGACAGCCCAGCACTTACACAGCCTCACATCCTTTAACTGCAGAAAGGAAAGCAAGGAGTCTGCTTGTTCTTGTTAACAGCAAAGCATGGGAATGTGGGTATTGCTGGGAGGCTGGCAGAATCTGAATCCCATCTGTGCTCTCTGTCCTTGCTACCAATACCATCTTCTGCTCAGAACACAGCACCAGCACACATCTGCTCTCTGCTTCCACAGCTGTTCCTGTTCTGAAATCTCAATGCAGTTCCATGTGGCTCCCAACCACACACCCCATATATTAGTAGTTTGGGAGGTGCATCTCCCCTCAGCCTGTCATCTCCGGGCAGGGGGGAAGGGCAGATTAATTTATGTCCATAAGACCCCCATATGTACATCTCCTTTTCTCTCTGGGAGTTTGCTCTCGTGTTTAACCTCCTCAGCCTGCTGGCACAAGGAGGCCAATGATGCAGTTCAAAGAGAGGTGCAGGCTCTTCTCTCTCCCCCTCCCCCTGGAATCTTCCTCTCACTTGTGGTCCTTGGGATTCACCCAACGCTTTTTAGAAAAAAAAAGAAAAAGAAAAAAAGAGGACCTCAAGACAAGTATGCATTTAATAAGCAGTGAGACAAATAAGCTCCAGTTATCCCAGCAGAATTACAACACCAGAGAACAATTTTCTGCATTCCTCTGAAGGCCTGAAGGAACCCAATTGCCTGCTCTCAGCCTAAATAGGTACCAGACACCAAGTGCTCCATAAGCAAACAGAGCCCCCAAAGTGCAAAAATGAAATAAGTAAAAAGCTTCACGTTACATATAAACCAGCCGTTTGCACCTTGTTATTAATGATCTTGACTATGACCTTTAAACACTGCCTTGCTCAGAGTCATGGATCTACACCTTGGCACCTTCACAACAATTCCAGGACAAGGAGGCAGGAAATAACCTGGCCTGGCTCACACCAGAGACGTGGCATGGGATGGCTGGAGTGCCCCGAGCCTCAGCCATCAGCTGCTCCAATGCAGCAGCCTGAGCTAAGAGGTGAGCACCTCCAGCACGAGCTTGTCAGCATAGTGACAAATGGTGACCGTGGTCTGTGACAGGGTGAAAAGTCCTGCAGCCACGAGTGCATGTGTGCATAAGCAGCAGTGATGCATATTTCAAGAACAGAGGCTAACACCATGATACACAGCTAGTTACAAGGGAGCTAGTTACCTACAGGCTAATTCTGACGTGGCTTATGAGCCCAAAGAAACTAGAGGTGCCTCATGCTGCCTCTGCCAACCAGAAGAGCTTATAAGCCTATGCTGTCACACAGCTGCTTTAAGAGTTAATTACAAGCCAGAGGAAAGTTTTGCCCCTGGGAAGCTGCTCAGCACAGTCACTACCTCTGCAGGAGACAACTGGCAACACAAACATCTGGAGAGAGCTGAGCAAAAACTGAGTGGTTCTGAGGTGCTTTACGACACCATGAGCAACAACATCAACAAAAAATTCAAATCCTGCCAGCGTGAATCAAAGAGACTGTAATTATTCACATATTAGCAGCATGTATATAAATAAACGTTGATTTTCAAGTTCTTTGCCTTTCATTGGCTCCTCCAAATAAAATGAAGACTTGGGAAGCCTACTACATGACATAAAGCCTTAAAAAGGCTTCTGCTATTCCAGTGGCTATGAGGCACATATTGTAAAGTGCATGTTTCAGGGAAATGGCAACAATCAATGCTTATCTGTCCCCAGTCATAATTGTCTTGTTACATATACATTATACAACTTAATTGCATGTAGACTGATATGGTAGCACTGTGGTATGCATCAGGTGCTAAGCCCCTGCTCCAAGGTGGCAAAGGAATGTTGCTATAAAGCATGAACAATCCTGCTAGGAAATCATGCAGAGAGCTCCTCCTTCCTCAAGAATTACTGGCACTTCAAGGTAGACAGGAACATTTTCATTACATAGGCTGCTGCCAGCTATACTTTCAGCACAAGCCCATCCCCTTTCTGTTACTGTTATGTCAGGGGAGGACAGTGAAAGAAAGCAGCTCTTGGGATGATACATGGGAGGCACTGCTTCATTTATAACCTCACACAAATGCTGGAAAATGTTCAACTTTAAAAAGCATTAGGTTGGTTACCTTATGGGCCCCTGTGGACCAAGATGTGAAATTACACGAACACAACATACCTATTAATCACCACATTGATTCCACAGTGAGAAACACCACCAATGGCTGCAATTCAACTGGAAGGGAAGTTGAGAAAGTCACCTACAAGCGGGTAGGCAACTAAAAAAAAAAAAAAGTATTGCCTTTCTGTAGGGCTCCCCTCTTGATTCCCTGATGAATTCAAGTATTTAACCTGGACTAAAGCCCAACCAACATACAAAAGAGAGTAACAATGGCATTCCTACCTAAACATGGGTGCTCCATCTCAGCCATTCACAATCAGGAGGTGCACAGGTGATTGTCTGCTTCATAGTCTTTTATTTTTTTTTTTAAACTAGATTTGAAAAACTCCTTCTGTTTTTACGTTGCATGTTTTCACTTTACATTCTGCCAAAAGCTGGAACAACCATTCCACTACTCACATCTGCCCACTGGTCCTTAGGCTGGAAGCTCTGCAGAAGTACCAGAAGCTGCACCTGCACTGAAAGACCTTTAGAGAATCAGAATTATATGGAATACTTCATCTGTACTAATTAAAATATCATAAGAGTCCTGCCTACAATAAAGAATCAAATAAAAAACATTCTTGCTGATTGATGTAGGTACTGCTTCAGAGAATAGTACAGGCTACAGCAAGCTTCTTCCATTCAGGATTCAAAAACCAGAGTAATTTATGACACCTTTCACAGAAGCTGTCAAGGTCACAGCTCACATCAATCTTTCACAAAGATCAGTGAAGATGAAGCATGCAAAATCTCCCTAGTTATTAAGGATAACTACACGTATCTCAGAAACATAGGAAGATGGACGACTTTTAATATGCACAGAATTAATGTTTATCTGCAAGCCTGTGCTATTTTTGTAATTTCCACATTTTAAGAAGCTTTTTGTCTAACATGAGCCTGCTTCCTCAGTACTGAGCAGCAGACTTGAGTGTTGAGAAGTTGACATACTCTCTAATGGGAGAAGGGTGGAAATGGAGGTCACACCAATTACCTCCCAGCACTTGGCTGCCACAGCTATCTGTTCACCTTTCCAATAAACAGACCCTCGTGGCTGGTCCATATCTGAAGTAATTCCTTTTAAGAGTGCTCCACACCTCAGGTCTCTTCAGATCTTGATATCAACAATGATAGCACTTTTCTTTGGACTAACACTTGAAAGTTCAGGTCTCCCAAGGAGACTCCCATGCAGATACCACAGTCACTTTTAGCCCATTCTTCAAGGCAAAGGGATCTGAGAGACAAAATACGTACAGTTCACTCTAAAGAAATAAAAACATGAAGTAGAGGAGTTTACACTACAATTTCCTTGTGTACTGCAAACTTACAGGGTACAGAGGAAATAAATCTCTGCACACTATCATCTACATTAAAACAGGCGCTTAAGAATTCAACAAACTCCACACGTTGAGAAGCAACCTTTTAATAAAGAAAGCAAAACCATACTTTGCTCTTAACAAATATTTTGAAAAAGACTTACAAAATTAAAGCCAAAGCCAGTAATCCTGTGCATCTGCAGCTGAGAAGGAAGTGTCAAGACTCAAAACATCCGGCCAACTTACATTCTCACATTTCTTACAGAAGTATTACCTTCCAGTTGTGATTAAGAGAGCAATAGGGTTACCACTCAATAAAAACTATTTTCTTAGATGATTACAGACTCTATGGCCAAAGAAGGAACTCAAACATGAAGCACCATTACCAACACAGCAGCCTACAAAGGGCAGCTGTCTGAGCAGCATAGCTTTCTTCTCTGCCTCCCACAGTCAGGTGCAAGCAAACCATGCCCAGGGTGCTGCCAGGACACACTCAGAACAATGCAATCGAAGCCTCTGGGAGGCATGCTGCACTCAGCTGGTGCCAAAGGCTGGAAAACGTGAGGATCTTAATGTTTCCACAGCAAAGGATAAAAGGAGAGTCCCAAAGAACTGGAAAAAAGAAAACACAACACAGCAATGACAACAAGCGAGCTCGAGTTTAAAAATCAACTTCATTCCATAGGTTTAAGATACGAACAAGGAAATCAGAGAATCAAACCACATTTGAGCACTCAACCTCTGTGACACTGCGGCACTTTAATTACGGACATCAGTGAACGCAGGGAGAAAGGCTGAGCCTTCTGAAAGCTGATGAGGCAGTAACAGGGATGGGGGACAAAAATACAGCATACAGAGCCTCAAACTTGTGCTGTGTGAGCAGTGCACAGTGCGACTCACCGGGGTGTGAGGGGCTCAGCCAGATGCCAGCACACTGGGGGCACTCACGGGCCACAGAACTCGCAGCACCTAGATAGAAGCAGCACGTGTTAGAACAGCCTTTCTCCACGCTACACCAGTGTGAAGCACATTGGGGAAGGGGGTGGTGCATTTTGTTGGGGGTTCAGACACGGATTATTTATAGGTCACTGATTCAAATGTGTAAAAAACAGACAACCCGGCAAGAGCAGCCCATTCTTCAGACAGGATCCACAGATGCCATCTAAACAGTTCCAGAAACAGAGATTAAGTTAAAACAAATGATGCAAACCCCCCTGCACCTTCTCAACATCCCCACACCCACCCCCCTCCTAACCAGGACCTGCGTTATCCTCACACAAACCCTCTTTCCGTGAGGCAGCAGTGACAGGACTCATTTACTTTGAGACTTTTACTTCGGCCCTCCTGGCTTCTATCATAACCTCAAATATTACATTAAAAAGGCTTTTAAAACATAACATTGACAACGGCGCAGGAGCTTTTCATTGCAGCTAGCTTCTTCAGTGCCTGTGTGCGTGTGGCACCTTCACATTAAGTGCATGAGTTAAGATGTAGATTAGTGAGGCAAGGAACCTTTGCCCTTGGCATCGACACTCGGCTGTGACAGGAAACTTCAGGCTTTTTTTTTTTCTATGAAGTGTAGAACCACTCATTGCACATTGGCAGGGAAGTGCACATCTCCAAACTATACACATTTTCTCTTAGATAAGCAAAAGACTCAAGTGTTTATAAATATGAAAAGTTCAGCAGCTGGCTAAAAAGTTAATTCTCCAGTCTCACTTAATGAGCTTTGGGGAAAGTGGTAGGGGGATTTGTTCAGAAAGTAAAGCAGAGTGTCACAGAAAGCAGGACTTGCCAGACTGGGCTCTGCTTAGTCCTGTGTTCTGCCTCGAGATGGCTGCTATCAGCAGAACAGAAAGGAATCCTCTAAAGGGGAGCCATGCAGAATGAAAAATGTTTTCTCCTTATCTTGCTATCATAAAAATTAGCCAATTTTTTAATTTAAGCCCCATGAATTCTTTCTTTGTTGCGAAAATATCAAGCAAACCATATCAAAATACTTTGGAACATGGATTGTCTTCGGATTTTGTCCAACTCCCTAAGCAAAAACGTGCTTTCAGTAGGATTCTGGAACGCTGCTGCAGTATTTTTTCAGTACTTTAAGTAACACTGGTCTATTCCAGTAGCATATACTGGGAAAAACGGTTAGGACTTAAAGCCTGGGACTGATCTGTTTTGAAGGTAACACGTCAGACATGGCAAGGAACTTCTGACATGAGAGTCTGCAGCATCTGCTGCCACTGCATCTGCAGTTTTCCTGAAAGCAGATTTCTCAGCATCTTTTAAGACTTTGTACAGACTGTTGTGTGGCATCACTTTTGCAAAATGATACACAATTAGTCAATCCTCCACCTATGTAATTAATAAAAATTAACAATTCATACCGAATGGAAAAATAATCAGATCCTTCCGTCAGCTGTTTTGGTAGAAAATATTCTTCAGCCCGCTCAGCTGTATTTACCATACATTTTCTGTATGGTATCCTCCATTTTCTGTACCTCCATTTTCTGTACCTCCCTCTTTCTGTCACTTACCAACCCAATTTGAACACCAACTACTTACGACACAGGGCTGTCTCAGACTGTCACCAAGAGAGCAGTTCTCCAAGAGATCAGGTATCTCGCAGAAACAAAGAGCAAGGCTCACTGATCCCTAACCCACAGCACCACCCAAAGCCCCTGCACTCTTTTTGCACACCTAAGAGTTCCCTGCCCCTGCATGTTTTGCTGGCATCACCCACAGTGACTCACACAGTGCATCTTATCCTCTCCCTCCAGTTGAAGGATATTAAAAACTAGAGAACAAATGAAGCCAGGCTTGCCTCTAACTAGATTAGTAAATGCTAAGCACTTCTGCAAGCACTTCCACCTGTATAAAACACAACCAAGTTCCCTTGGGTGCCTGATCCAGGGCCAGGGAATACAATGGAAAGACTGCCATCAGTTTCAAAGGGAGCTGAACCAGAGTAGGTGCCAGAGCTAAAGCCTTTTGTTGATGGTGTATTAGACTGTATACATTGGAACTAGTAAATGCTTCACTGTGATTTTTGGCCACTTGGAACATTTTTAGCAATTTGCCAAGGTTTACCCTGTGATTTATTATGGAGGAAACAAACTCAAGCACTAACAAATGAAAATATGTAAACTCCAACTTTTAAAGTCAATAGAAAGGTATTCGACTCCTTAATGCTGTTTAAAAGCAAACAGTTCATACAGAGGCGTATTAGGTTCAACTGCAGGAAACAACAGTACAAGAAGTAACAGAAATGCAATTTAAGTAGTCATATTTATAAGTCACTTAGAGAATTACAGTAAGTAGAAAAAAATCCATGCACACAATTCTTTTTCAATTGCCATTCCCAAATCTGTGCTTTAGATTTGCTGGAAATTCAACAATTCTGCCACTTTGCTGGAAATCTGTTTGGGGCCACTTCTTCACTAAGGCTGAGGCACTCCAAGTGTCTACCATCTGGAACTTCATTATCTCCAATTATAATATTTAATAAGTTAAAACATACTATCATGAAATAATACTTGAAATCATGAAACATTCAAGATTTTTCTTTTCACTTAGAAAACTTAAAAGCCCTGGAATTACCTGCAGGTAATTAAATAGAAGGTAAGCTTCCATTTTTCAGTATAAAATTCTTCTTTTTACAAAGAATTTCTTCACAGAGAGGGTGCTCAAGCATTGCCAAGGGCTGCCAGGGAGGTGGTATTTAAGAGATGTGTGGACGTGGCACTATGGGACATGGTTTAGTGATGGGATCAGGCTGATGATTGGACTCCATGATCCTGAAGGTCTTTTTCAACCTAAATGGTACCACCAAGCTATAAAAATTCATCTACATGCTAATGCCACATTCCTCCAAAGCACAGGAGAGATGATTCTATGGTAACATTTCATGATATCATGGCATTCATCACAGCATTACTTCCATTAAATACAGAGATAACTTACAAAGGATCTGAAGCAATCCAGGAATACAACTGGAAGTTTGAGTTTGATGTTGAAATATCATTGTTTCTTACAGGCTTTCCTGAAAACATCAGGAATAGGATCAAGAGTACAATAATCTAATAACATAAGAACATTGGAGTCTGAATGGAATTGAACATTAATTCTGTCGAAGACAACAGAATTGTTCTGGAAGACAGAATTTCCTTCTTAGTTGTCAAACTCAAGAGATTAATACAGAATTCACTTCTTGCCTGTTTATCTTACAATGGTAATTTCCACTTTTTGCAGTATTCAACTAGAAGAGTGAGTGGCAAGAAGCCCTTCGTCAGTGCCAGCGATCACTGTCAATTGGTGGGAGGAATTATGTGGTGATATGCAAGCTCCTTGATCATCTTTTCTGCTGAGCAGACACTATCTACCCTTTCCTAAAGACAGTGAAATAAACACACTGCCAAATGGCCAAACACTGATTTTTTTCCCCCACACTTGGACGTGTGACTTGACATTCAGAATGCCATTACACAAAGCCAACTAACTTGTACAAAGTCTTTTTTTTGGTTCAAGAAACCCAACAGAGAGAACTTCACCAAGCAATTCTTTGTTAGCATAACATTTGACCTTGTATCTCTTTGGAAATCATACAACTTTGCTAATGCAGTCCTTACAGAATTAATCAAGCAGATAGTTAGACCCTGGTTAATATGAACCCAGCCAATTATGAACAGCACTGAAATTTGTCACTGGCATGTCCAACTACATTTTCCAACAAAAAGATCAACAGAACTGTGTGGAAATGAGGCCCCATTCTCAGACCTGCATGATTTGGGCATTGTGGACTGGAATAAATAATGTAAATCCAACATTTTTAGGAGCAATGTATTCTTAGGAGAAGGGGCTTATCTCCTAGCCCCCCATTACCTGCTGGATTAAAACAGCAAGAAAGCAGAACCTCTTTCACCCTCTATTTTGACTAGCAAACATTGAAAAAAACAATTAATTGAGAGTTTGGTGTGTCTTAGTTTCAGCTGGGCTGGAATTATTTTCTTTAGAGTGGCATGATGCTATGTTTTGGTTCTAGGAGAAAAACAGTGTTGATAACACCCCGACGTTTATAGTTGCTGCTAAGCAGTGCTGTTCAGAGCTGAGGCCATTACCAGAGAAGAACCCAAGGAGCTGGGAGGGAACAGAATTAGGACAGTTGATTTAAACTGGCCAAAGGGACATTCTGTATCATATGACATTGTGCAGAAGGAGTTTTGAAGGGGGTGGGAATTCATTTCTCTTTTCCACTGCTCATGGGGGCTAACTGGGCATCAGACAGGAGGTGGTGAACAATTACTTGTGCATCACTTGTTGTACACATCCATATACATATATACACGAGTTTCATAGTTCAATAAAGGCTTAATAATATATACTAAGGTTGAGTCTGTGCATAACAGAAGCTGCCTATCCAGTTTGTTCCTCTCTGCTGAAGTGAAACACCGCTGCTTTCAGAGCACAGGAGAAGATCATAAGGTTACCAGCAGTAGCAATATTAACGTATAAGCAACGAAAATTCAGAAAGAATAGGGCAGAAAGAGGGAGAGAAGAGAGGGACACAGAAGCCATCCATAGGAACAAGCAGCTCGACAGCAGACAGATTTAAAGTAGCAAAGAACAGAAGCAATCCACCTATCTTTTCATCAGTTCCATTCACATAATGCTACTAGCTTCCAGTGCTCAGCAAGAGGTTGTTTTTTTTTTGTGGAGCCCAACCTACCTTCTATTCATTTCTCAGAAAGCTTTAAAACCTCCTGTACTGAGCCTTATACACAGCAAACATCCGCTGTATGGAAAGCAGTGTCTCTGATTTTTAAAAGATGAAGGTGTGGGAAACGTTAAAATAGAAATGACAGAGCCCATACTTACAGCTTTAGCAAAAACGACCATCAGCTCAGGGAACTGGTGTGTGAGGAGTGCAAGCATTGCCGAAAAGGAACACAGGCCTGCTGTGAAATGAATGAAAAAGGGAAGCTCCTTCTGTGGGTAAACGGAGACTTCATGAAATGCTGAAAAGAAAAAGAATATTGGCACTTGATAATGAAGGGCAATTATTTGCATAGCCTTACGCTCCAATCCAGACTTACAGAAAGCATAAATTCAGTCTCAAGACTATTGTGCAGCACAACGTATTAAATATTTTATCCAAACTTCTCAAAAATGTTCCCCTCACGTTAAAAGCTCATCTTAACTACTGCCAGCTATTATAGCTTTCCCTTCCCAACCTTCTTTTTCACTTGCATGAGATTTGCTTCTGAAACATTTCATCAGGCTTAACTTTTGATACTTTTAATCATACAGAGGGAAGAGTTACACAACTCACAAGCTGTAATTTTGACTATTAGGTCTATTTCAACCATCCAGGTGTTCTCAACCTAATTCTGTTATCTGGAGAGTGGGGCAGATCTCCCTTCCTGTAAGATTAAGCAGCTCGGTGTGCACAAAACAACACCATGTCATATACACATGCAAAGTAGGTCCTCAATAGTTTTCAAAGATTTCAGGTTGGCAGACTACAGTAAATTTTTCAGAGCAGCTGACAGAGTAGACCTCAAAGAAAACAGCAGCAGGACGAGGTTATAAATTCTCCACATAGCAGTTCCTTGCAATTTCCAATCTATGGTAACAAAATCAAAAGAAGGTGATTAGCAAGGCTGAGGGGCTGGCATATGGGGCTTTCAGCACTCAAGACACTACAACGGGTTACTAGCTGAGGATCTGTTTGGTGAATGTGCAATTACTTCTGGCCAAGAATACCTGCAGCTCTGACTTCTATCCAGTGATTCTAAAAGGTTCTTTAAATAAGGAAAAGCAGTTTCTATAGACATAAGTAATTATGAAATGGTTGCATATTTCTTCAACAGTTGATTTTTAAAAATCTTAAAAAAAAAAAAAAGCTTCAAAATTTACTCAATCTGCTGAGAAATCAAAGAAATCATTTGTCTACTATGGAAAACTATTACACTCCCATACAATGCAGAAACTCAGCTGCATTTTAAAACATGGAGATACATAAGGTAGAAAAGCCAGAGTCTAACTTAGGAAAGGGTAAAAAAATGGAAAGAATCCTTTTTGCAGTATTTTTTTCCTTCATTGATACACTGGAATCAAATCCAGAATATATAAGGACAATGAAAGACACTTCTGTATGTTCACAGCCATTTGGGGACTGTTAACAGTCAGAGCTCAATCCAGGAGTTTTGAATCATTAATTTGGTCAACATAATTTTTTAAAATTTATCTATTTAAAATGAAGTATCAAGGTTTCTTGAGGAAGTACTGCAATAAAAGTGTTAAGATGGTTTTATTTATGGGTAGTTTTATACTTTAAACATAACAGGAATGCGTGAATGATTGTGTTGAAATATCTGCATGTGTTGGTGTTTAATTATGCTGGGAAGTCTACAATTTAGGGTTAGTCACTAACTGAGGAATTCCTTCTGCAATATCCTGCATAAGTGAGAAATGAGTAATTTAAAGCAGTCTGGGGGCAAATTTAAATTACACATTTTAAATATAACTTCAGGTTTTTAAATAGAAACACGTATGTGTAGATTTGCTTTCCACAGCTGTGGTCTCAGTGGGTCTGCTGCTGCTTTTGCAGTAGCTCTTTCCTCTTTCTGTGGGACTCGTGTTTATCCACAACATAGAAGCTTATCCTCAGAGGAATTCTATTAAACGTACAATTAAGAGCACAATTCTAATCTAAATTGATGTTATTTTCCTAAGAATGATGAGCACAGGCATTAATGGTTTATTTTCAGGTCGCCTCACCAAGAGAATAAAGCTTGCAGGCTCATACTTCCATAATTAAACTCAAAGTACTGAACATTTGGGGAAGACTTCTTTGCAAAAAGAAAACAACTCTTCTACAACAGTTATCAAATCCATTGCTCCTTTAAAAATGTAATTTAAAGAATCAAGCTAATGTTTATCCTATGCACCTGTGAGATATTTTAGGATCGTTTGGGGACGGACATCAACAAATAGCTGAAACCCCTTCATGAGAAGCTCTAACTCAAAAACATAGTAAGATAAATACAGAACACCACAAATTGAACATGTCCTTAGGTTATGTTTTATTATTACTGCTTGCAAACCACTTACTTGGCAACAGTTCTCTGTCTGCTGTTTCCGTGCAACTTGGATAGGGATAGAAAAGGTGACCTTTCTCTAATGGGTATGGGATCATCCTAAATGCTGAAAAAAAGAGGAAGTGACATTAGATCTGAACCTAAACCAAGCAGTTGGTTTTCTCAGAGAACAGGTGAATAAAAAGACTTGAGTTAATAAAGGCAAAAAGGTCAGTCTACTGCACAGGAAAGAAAATGAAAAGAGATACTTACTGCCTTCCCATGTACAGTGCAGCAGATGTAGAGCCCCTTCTATTCTCTTCCAGTGCTGGAGATGGAAAAAAGCATATGCTACTGCCTCGCTGTCCCCTCGTTTCAGGATATGCTCTGGAGGTAGGACTAAGCTTTTCATCTCTAGTAAATACTGAAAGTAAAAAAGGGAAAGCATGCCTTGTTAAACAGAATATTCCAAAATCTTTACTAACAGTGAAGAGGATCACTTGAGGGGCAGCTGAGCACCACCCTCCATGTGTTGATAAAACAGCCCAGTCCTCACACAGTGCAGGTGGCATCCACTGGCAGGGGAAGTGAAAAGCACTGAATCACCCAGCAGTGTACAAGACTCAGATTGGGGTTCTCCCACACAAAATACCAGGACAGAAAGAAAAAAAAGAAAGCACCTTCAGCAAAACAAACTTTAAAAAAAATTCTTGTGGTATAAAGTTTAGGCTAATTTAAAAAAATTAGTATTTTTGCTCATCATTTCATCCCTGCAAGTTTCAGTGTAGAACACTAAATGTGTAATAACTCCCAAGTATGAGGAATAAGTCAGGAAGCATCGGTATGCTAATCAAATGAAGAATAATCCACCAAACCCTGGAAAACCTTAATTTCATCTGGTTTTGTGGAGCTAGCATCAAGTATCTCCAATTTGAACTTTCCCCATACATCAGCAGAATGTGTGATGTGCAGAAGACTCAAATAACGCAAGACTGAATAACTTAAGACTTTCCTTGACACATGGGACACACAGTTTTGCTTCTTCACTGTATACTAAAAACCAAAAGAGAGGTATTCCTTTGGAATTTTGCTTTTAAAAACAGATGAGTCTTTTTAAAAGAATTAAGTGATGGTTCCAGCTCTATTATTTACTTGTGAGTTGTTCTCCCCCAGCATATAGCATCTCATTCAATAACAGCCAAAGCTAATCCACACCTTTGATCACTGTAGCTAGCGATTCCTTTGACTGTCTCCCAAAGTGTAAGAATGCAGCTTGCTCACCGATTTATTTCAGCAGATGCCACAAACTATGAGATTATTTACTAATCTAGTTTGAGGACTTAACTTTTCCCATTCAGATTCTTGAAGGAATGTAGTAGGGGTTGTGCCCCGGCCAAATAAAGCACATTTACTGCCTGGCTAGGTTCTTCTCTTAGTGCCTTGGGCCCGCACTCTGGAGGGTAATATTCTTGCTAATCCTCTCTAATCCTCTTCAATTTTTTTATTTTTTTATTTTTTAACACAGTAAAGGATCACTCACACAGGGCTGCTGTGGGAAAATGGTCTCAGATATCTGACCTCTGACCTGACTCCTCATGCTCTCTCCCGTGCCCAGTTTTCAAGCTGTAGGAACTGCTTCGAGTGCAAGCACAGCAGTTGTGATGGAGCCCTGCTACAAGCACTGCCACAATACCCCACAGCAGCCTTTTCCTAGCACTGTAAAACCATCTCCTTACTTTCCAAACAACAAAAAAAATAAAAGTAAAGCTCAGAGCAGAGAGAAACAGACAGTTTTCCTTACACAAAATGATGTTACGTGTAAAAAAAACCCACTTTCACTGGACACCAGAAGAGATTTCTATGTTAGACATTTATTTATTGTTACTCTACGGGACAGAACAAACTGCAAATTCAAAAGACAGATTTTCTCTCCCATTAGACCACTGCAACCCATAAAATTCTGCCATGCAGTCCAATAAAGCAGTGCTTGAAGGCAACATTTAAATTTTAAAAAGTCACGACAAAAATAATGGATAAGCATACAGTTGGAAGAGATGATCAAATTACTGAAACCTGGCCTCAGTTTCCATGAATGGCTGCAGAACTACTGTCTGCAAACAGATTTTTGACGTGCTGTCTCACTAAGGTATATGGGACTCCTGAAACAACTGAAGGACAAACAAAATTAAACAAACTTCTAGATAACGATAATGCGTTATAATCTTCTTCCCCTAAAGGCAGAGGCAAAAGAAAAATCTGTCTGAGACTGTCTGAAATGAACTTGCTACGCTCTTGATCAGTCATGCAAACAAGCAGCAATTTCTCCCAGCAATTAGCTTCCCCAGTGCACATTCTATTAGATTGGACAGGCAGACAGAATAGAGGGGTTGGATAATTTGAGCCTTCATAGCAATAGTCACTCGGACTCCATGATCATTTGCAGAGGATTAGGTCCAGACCTAAGCAAACCTTTTGCATTCAAGGTTTCAAACTGAATGCATCACCAATACTAGGACAGTAAAATGCAGTATAGAAATTTATTTCCACACGCAGTGGAATCTTTACTTTGGACACTTCAAGCAATGAGATATTAAATTACATCATATGGTAGTATTGATTCTTGCTCTCACTTAAAAAAAGAAAATCAATGGTGGCACATCTGCCACTAACCAGAGCTCCAGAGCCTGGCTTCTAAGCATAACATGAAGAAGCACTGTGAAATTCTGTGAGTAGTTATGGTTTGGAAATTTAATTTGGCTACAGGAATTTTAAGTGTCTAATTTTACATTTGCTAATACCTATCCTCATCCAAGAAGGGCCTGTGGAAATACATTAGTGGAGTTTCCAACAAGTTAGATAATTTTGAGGGTGTTTTTTGTTTTGTTTTAAATCAAAACCATTCAAACATAACCTATTACAAAAAAAAACCCTTTACAATATAAATACGTGACTGTTTAATAAGTCAAGGGCCACAGTTAACATCAACTTCAAGAAAATCTGGGGCTCAAACAATATGATAATATAAAATAACTACTTTATGAAAATAATAAAGTGGTCCAATAGAAAATAAAACCCTCTTACCTTTGGAACATGAGGGTTAAATTCCACAGCTCTGTGAATTGCTTCCACAGCATTTATTTCTGCTGTACTAAGCCCTCTTTTGAAGGCAGTTTCTGGGGAGAACCTGAAGGGGAAAATTCATGCTGAACAGAACTAATAAATAATAAACACTAACCAGGTGTTTATTGGCTTTTAAGCTTGAAGTTCATTAAAATTGACTGATTTGTTTCACGGAGGCAAATGTTCATGCTAGTTTAAGTATCTTGACTGTCATCCAAGCCCACAGGGCAAAGATATGTTAAACTTTTTGAAAACTTCATGTCGACCTCCCAGGGTGATTGAGCACCCGTATCTTTCATGAGATTGATAGGACACCAGCTAGGGGGAGGTAAAGTTGGAATCAGCCACAGAAACAGACCAGAATCCAAGCACAACACCAACAAACCACCACTATCACCTAGCACCCAACCCACAAAGCAAAGAGCTGCTGAACACCACAGGCAAGATTGAAACAAGATTATACAGAGTTACATGTGTGCGTGGGCTTTCCAGAAACATCTTCACCTGTGTTAACTCTATGGATTCTTAAAAGAAACTTTAAATTATGTTTCTCTATATCTAACTATATAGTTAATTATACATAACTAAACATATACATAAATATGCATAACTTGCTCTTAGAAATATATTACATATTAGGTCTTGATCTTTTTAATTCATCTTTTAAAGCTTAACTCGAGACTAGCAACCAACCATTGCTTTCACAGATGTGCTTGCTTACCTTTCTGAAACAGCTCTGGCTTTTAACAGGGCTGCTGTGTAACATATTGCTGCTGATTTTGGAAGACTGATATCTGTGATAAAATAATCAAGCTGTAAGATTTTAAGGGAAGACAAACCTTTTCAATCAACTTCCTTTGAGCTTAAAGATTTTTGATTTTGGTACACCATACAATAAACATAACATCCAGAACATTCCACCTCTGTTTAGAAATGTTGATTCCCTTTGCACAGTTGTCTTTCTGATCACTCATCAGCATCAGATTAAAAACCTCAGAGCTGCAGTTAGGCAGTAAAGTGACTAAAACATAACAAAACGCTGAAACTGAACTCAAAGAGAAGTGCATATATAAATGTACACTTAGGAACAGTGTGCTTTTCCTGTATTAACTCAGGAAGATTTAAAACAAGCTTCTAATCTTTGCCTAATTTTGTAACATTAACACAGTTTTACAAAAAATGGACAGACAATCTAAAAGCTGACCAAAAAATTACATTGCAGACAGGTAGACAAATTTTATAGAAAATGCAACTTCCATCCTTTTCCAGTTACACAGGAAAAAAAAATCTATTAGTTATAGGTTTTGTAGAACATGCAAGGCTAAGTTTGAGCTGACAATTATAGATTGGAAGGATAGCACTCCACAGTACAAGTTTACTTTAAAAGCAGACAAAGTCTGGGGTCTAATTCCCAAATACCATGTTGTGTATAGTCAGATGGCTCTTGCTTTTTTTTTGTAAATCCCATCCTAGGCTTGTCCATCACTTACTAGAAGTCTGGCTGTCGTACCAAGCAAAACACAGGGAGGCTACAGAGAGTTTGAAGCTCATGCTCATTTTTCCAGATGCTTGGGAAAAAAAAAATCAGAAACCTTTTCTTAAGGAAGTGTCACAAACTCTGATGTTAACAATGAAGCACCAGGAAAAAAAGCAAATGATTTTGTGAAATTAATAAGAATCCATGCAGAAGAACACAGATGATCAAATAAAAGGAGCTCGCATTTGGGGCGGCCACATACAACAGGCACAGGATTTTGGCAAGAACATGATATTTTTAATTCCCTGAAGCTGTGAAGGAAGTTTACATTTTATTAGCTTTTATCTAGACTTGTACAACACCTGAAATGTATTAGTTCAGATGGAAAGTGAAAGCAAACTGCTGCCAATTAATGGACAAAAGCTTGTATACCACTAATCTCTGGCAAGAAGTATGCTTGTATGTCACTAATAATCTCTGACAAGCAACCTCAGCATTACAGAGTTATGAAGCCAAGCCTGCAGCATAGCAGAAGGGAAGACTATCTTGTTCAGCCATTTACATCAATTACATAGGGGGCCATGCACTAACTGAGAAAGGCTGATGAAATTAGGCATAGCCAAGGATGCAGAAAAGATTAAAAAATTAAAATAATCCCTGAGTTGAGGCAAAGTGAGCTCCAAGATCTCTTTATGAATTAGAGTTAACTTAGGAAGTGTGTACTGGCTTACAGCTTGACTAAATTAGAGCTCACCATTCAAAAAAAAAAAAATACAGCCCAGAATATGGAAGAACCTATTCATTGGTGATTATAAGAATCTAGTCAAAGAGATGAGATACTGGGCAGATATCTGCTTTCAGACAGGCACACCTTGTCCAGTTCACCTATATGCTTATACAAACCCACCAATATTTCCCAACAGGTGTCACTTACCATCATACTTTGCTAAAACTGCCTGGACATCTGCATAAGCCTGTAACTCCAGTAATGCCTCCAGGAGATTTTCATGAATATTCAGCATGCTGAGAAGTGGAAACTCTTTCATTAACTGAAAAATCAGTAAAGAGAAATAAATTGAGCATATACAGAAATTCACTTGAATCCCTGAATATTTAATAATAGGCAGCATGATAATTTAAGCTTTTTTAATGTTCTTTTCTTTCCCAGTGTTAGAAACTGACAAGAAGCAGCACAGAAAGAACTGTACCATTCCTACCTTAAAGTCATCACTTTTTTCCTTAATACACCTACTAGAAAATAAGCACACTGAGGCTCAGTCACGCTCTCAGCCCAGATCTGCACATCTCCCATAGTGAACTGATTTACTTAGTAATATTTTCCTGTACAAAAACAGCCTATTATACATGTTGGGCAAGGGAGAGAAAAATTAGGATGAGGCATAAAGGCCAGCCTTTTTCACAGAGTAGTTGATAAGCCAGGCACAAAGCAAACTGGACAAGAGACTCGATTTTTTTCTGATTACTTACATCTCTCATCATTTTTACTGATTCTCGAATTCTTCCAAGTTTTCTTGCACACATAGCCAGTCTTCTTTTCACATAGACCAGTACATTAGTGTCTCTTCCTGATTAAAAGAAACAAAAACAGTAGACTAATCAGTTTCAATTCTTTCTCTCCCTTAAAAACACACCAAAACTCCTACAGCCTTTATCCTAGCCACACGTAAAAGCATAAAATAGTTACTACTGCTAACCCAACAAAAGCCCATCTAGCCCAATGCCAGCAACTTTTAAACAGGTTAAATTACAAAAAACCCTCTTTTCACAACCTATAGTGAATACACAGCACAGCTGCCACTTCCTAGATTCATTCAGGTACTACAACAGATCATACAGCACACCATGCATAAGTAAGAAGTGCCTCAGTACACTGTAAATCAAACTAGAATCACTAATTCTAACTTTGATTTTACACTTCTGCTCACATAAAAATAAGTGTTTCTTTGATTGAAAAGTGCTTACTTAGCTGTGCTTCATGCTGGGGACTTTGGGAATGGCAGTTCTGAGACTTCCTGTAAATCATCTCCCCTGCTTTCAAAGCCTGCTTAAAATACCTCTCAGCATCTGCAATAGTTGTTGCTTCTTCCTCTGCGAGAAGAACATATGCAGTGGCACAACTGTAACAAGGCAAAAAGCCACAAATCATTCTGAGGGACAAAGGACCCTATTTTTGAATAAGTACAGAAGAACCAGAAACAAGGAGTTATGTGAACCTACAATAATATTGACTGAGTAATGCTAAAATAGCATCAGGAAAACAAAACTTTGCAGTTTTGCAGAGAATAATGCAAACTTTGAGAAAATTTGCTAATTGTTACTGGAATAAGAAACAAACAGCACACTCAGCCTTCACTTCATTTAATCTTTCAGACTAGAACTAAGGCAAAGAAGACCATAGTCTACACTTACTCATTGTTCAACTCTAAGGCTTGATATGCTGCTTTAATCCGGGCTTGAGGGTTTCTCTCTCGCCATGCTTTCTGCATAACTGTTGTAAAAACATGGAAAGGCTGGTGAGATACAGAGAAGCTGGCAAACACCTGCTAGCAAACCAGAAAAAGTGAGGCAACAGAGGCTGCCCATGCCTCAGTTCTGTGTTAACATCCACTTGCGTTTGCAAATGCCTCTTTGCTGTGTAACTGTTCCAAGGAAATAAATGTTTTTGTGTCAGCAAGAGTTTCTATTGAAAGCAGCAGAATCTTGCAACTTCTCACTGTGTCACAGATTTGATTTAAGATAGCAACGCCATCAGGAAGATTATTCACTGACCATTTAAAAACTCCTACACTAAGAAGCAAAGACAGCTTACATAACCAGACAGATGTACAATTTCTAAATTACTACAGCTTTTGGATACATTTCCCAAGACTTCTTGAAAGCTTGGCAGGAGTAATTGTTAAACACAGGCTCTTGCACAGACCTGCACAGAATTTTAATTTATGCTTTCAAACAGAACCTCCAAGAAAACAGCGATAGAGTTAAGATCTGTGTTCAGATCATAGATCATCTGTGACCTACGAAATACTTCAGTGTTTGGATAACTACCAGATCATAAGGGGTTAAGCAATGTCCTTTTAAATTTACAAAGTATATTTCAGTGGCAAAGCCACACAACAAAGCCAATTCAGTATATACTATAGTTATCACCTTATTAGAAAGTGTTGTAGGAAACAAAAATGGTGATTTCTTTCCACTCAGAAGGGTAATCTGAATCACAATTTGAATTCAAAATTACAGTCAGATGAAGAGCAAACAAATGGAATGCAGCATCTCTAAGCCTTTCCCTTAGTTGGAAATAGAAGTGAAATTCTGATGGAATGCTTCCCTCAGGGAAAAATGGGAATCCCAGAATCCCAAACTGGAAGTCAGCTTCTAGCAGAAGACAGACACCATACTAAAAGCTGCCATTATGTGTGCTGAAGTAACAGCTTTCATACTAAATAACAGTTCTGAAATAACTCCAAAACTTTACGTTCATGGAATCACATATCTGGCCTATCTCAAAGCACGATAAGAGAACTGAAGAATCTATACATGTTTCTTTTGGAACAAAACTTTCTGCTGTCCAGCAAGAATAACGTGGAAAAATGTTTGAGTTTTCTTTTGGAAACAAAATATTAGTCTTGGCTTAGCAAGAGAGACAATACACTCCACTTGTGAAACAGAAATACGTAATTCATATCAAAAATGTCACAACGAGCTGACAAGCAATGCTTCCGGAATGTAACAAATTGGTAACAGCTAGGAGCCAGTCTGACAAGAGCCAGGTAGAGAACAGTTTCTTCACTAAACATTTGGAACACAATGGCAAAATAATGGAGATGGCACTGTCTGTTCATAAAGTTTAAATGAGATCACTTCACTAGTTGTTGAGGAAACAGTCCATGTTTTCAACGTTGTGTTGTTCATTATTTTTTAAGGGAGTTATTATGCCAAGATCCTGAGAGCCTTTATTAAAGCACAAGGTGAAAAAAATCTTCCCAAATCCACAAGTTAAACCTCTGAAGTAGTACAGAAAGGCTAATTCACAAAATATTTGGCATGACAGCTTGTGCCACCTGGAAGTACATTAAATATCCACTTTACACACCCCAATTGTTATGCATCTTATGCATACAGTACAGGTACCTGTATCTGAAGGCCGAAGGGCATCTGTATCACATGTGAAAAAGTTCTGGTGATCTTGAGCAGACAAATTCATGTCATAGTAGGTAAGAGGCTCTTTCCCAGTCACCCACATGTATCTTAAATGGGAGAAATGTCAGTAAAATGGTCATGCTGATGCCAAAAATATCTGATGTGTTTAACAAGTAGTGCAGAAAATTTGTTATTAATAAAGTCAGGAGCTACTAATCAAGAGTTTTCTAGTATTACTGTTCCATAATCTTAAGGTTGCACAACAAAAAAAAATCTTTTTGATCCTGCAGTCTTAATCAACTTCCTTCTCAAGAAACAAAAATAACAGAGGTTTACAATACAGCTGCATCTTTTCAGAAGAGAGACTTAAGATTCAGAATCACTGTCTCAATCTCTGAATAAAACAGTAACAGCTGTAAGACCAGCACTTTCATTTTGGAGAAGAGGAAAATAATTCCGGGAATATTTTTCTCCTACTTTACTCTCAAAAAAATGATATTTACAATAATATTTGCATTCTTAACATTGAAACTGTCAAAGCTTGGATAGGTGCCTTTTAAACACAGGACTGGCATCAATCACCCCTGCAGCCTTGCTCAGCCATTTCCCAGTACAACCGGTACAAGCTCTGCAGTGAAGTCACGCATAGGCTCCCAATTAATTTTAAAAACAAGCAATGGAAAATAAGATGGTTAATACCTGCTGTATTCTGCTCCTCTGAAAAGATTAAGAGGATTTCGCCACATCTTGCATTCTGAAAAAAAAAGTACTTCTTGAATTAAGAGCACAAACAATACTACTTTGAGTTTGAAATGAAGTTATGAAAATGCAATTTTAATTTTAGAAGCTCATTTAATTTTAGATTTATTCAACTTGATGACAATCATACAGTCTTTCCCATCTCCATAAACTTCTGCCGTCACATACATGTTTTGGACGCTCACCATTGTTGGATATTAAAAAGTGCCATTTATATCCAAGCAATTTGTACCTTGCACGTATTTAGAATAGCAAATATCTAAAGTTACTGGAACAGTCTTGGCTGAACGTGTCATCTCTCTACTAAGGGAATAAATAATTAATGTTTTAGATCAATTAACTCATTGTATCATTATTAACAGGACACACCATAGGATGTAAGCCTTTCATAGAATGACAGAATCACAGAATGGCCTGGATTGAAAAAGGACCACAGTGCTCAACTCGTTTCAACCCCCTGCTATGTGCAGGTCACCAACCAGCAGACCAGAGCCACATCCAGCCTGACCTTGAATGCCTCCAGGGATGGGGCATCCACAACCTCCTTGGGCAACCTGTTCCAGTGCATCACCACCCTCTGGGTGAAAAACTCCCTTCTAATATCCAACCTAAACCTCTCCTGTCTCAGTTTTCTCCAATTAATACAAGCAACAATGCAGAGTAAATTCCCTTTAAAAGTCAACTCATTTGAAAATGTCACCTTCAAGCTGAATGAAAACTGTTGGGATGTGTTAGCAATCACCTGGCATGTTCTGTCTGTTTGCCTCATTCTCCCCAGCTGAGAATGCTGCTGGTGCTGGAGGGCTGTTTTCCACGCCGCCGATGAGCGGCCTCAGGTGACTCACAGATACCTGCTCAATGAAGGACGTGCCATATTTTCGGAAATGCCACCACTCAAATACCTGTTATGGGAGGAAAGAAAAAAAAGCACCAACATTTCCTTAGGCAACACCCTTCAGACATAAACACCAGGGATGAAGAGAAAGTTGCACAGAGCTAAGACATCCCCTTGTAAATGATTACAGACAGAATATATTTACCTACAAATTAATGGTAATTACCTATTTCAGGCTTGTCTTGTCCCACAGGATTACCCACACAACATGGGAAAGATGGAAAAAAGGAAAGTTTTACTCTCATTATGTTCCTCTCTCCCCAGGTCTTATTGTTACACTATGGACAATAAGATATTTATAACTTAATACACGCACAAAACACCAAAATACTACTGTTGGAAGCTAAACTCCTGACCTTCCAAGAGATAAACATCTCAGAAGTTTATTTCCACAGATGTCCACAGTCTTTGCATGTATATTTTGAAATGTTTATATATTTATGCATATATATATATATATATATATATCTGCGTATACAAATAGACACACACCTCCTCAAAACAAGCCTGAGTCCCTTAAAACAGATGCAATCTACCTTCCCTAGGCTCAAGCAATACACAAGACACATAATTAAAAAGTATTTAGAATATGTGTGGAAGGATACAAGTAACAAGCTCCTTCCTAGTGCAAAGGCACCCTCTAGAGTCTGACCACAGAAGTCTATGGCATTCACCTTCAACGAAACTATCTCAAGAGGTGCTGAAAATGCAGGGAAAGAAAAGGAAAAAAGAAGAGCTGCCTACTTACAAATATCAGTCCGGATATAAAGGATGAGGTCACTGTGAGGGCAAAGTAGAATTTTGGAGTCAAAGTGCTTAAGAACACAGTCACTGTTGGGAGACAGAAAAACCAAGACTTAACGAGCAGAACTGAAACACACACAGAGGGGTTTTTTTATTGAACAACACAGCACGAAAAATTACACACACGCCTGGTATAAGATCACCCGTGGGACTTCGTGGCTGAAGCCACTTTATTACAGCTCTTTTTGTCTGAACGTATCTGCGACAGCTCGCTACTCACACCACCGTCCCAAAATACAAACGTCACTTAACAACAGCCTCGTGGCACCGGTCCTGTGAGGGCATTATTCCATCGTCACCTAAACCCGAAACGCTGCGTTATGCACGATGCTGCCCTCATCTCCCTCAAAGCCCTCACGGCACAGGAGAGGAAACGCGGTTCTCTCTCTCTTACACAGACCGAGGGTTGAGCACAGCCTGCGGTCAGCGCAGCGCCTGTGGGGCACAAAACCCGGCCTGGAAGCCCCAAGGCCCCGCCGGGCTCCACCGCCCCGCTCCCCGCCCGCCTCACCGGCGGCCAGGCCGTCCCGGAGCCGTAGCGGCACCCGCAGCGCAGCGTAGAAGAGCCCGAGCCCGGCGGCCACGGCCAGCAGCCCGCGGGCCCACGGTGCCGCCGCCCGCCGCCTCAGCTGCTCCCAGCGCCGCAGCGCCGCGGCCGCCCCGAGGCACGGCGGCTCCCTGCCGGTCCCGCAGCCGTCCGCCATGGCCGACACGGAGGATGCCGGGAAGGGGCGGGGCGGACGGGCGGAGCCGGGCGCGGTCTCCCCGCGGAGCTCGAGGCTCAGAAGCGGCCTCACTCCGGCTAAGTTTCCCCTTCCACCGAGCTCGTCCACCAGACTGCAGCCCCAAGCTCCCGCTCCGGCTCCAGCCTCGCGGGCCAGCGGGCTCGGCTCTCGCAAGCGCGCCCATCTCTAAGGTGGCGGCCGCGCGGCGTCTGCCCGCAGCCAAGATGGCGCGGAACGCGCTTCCGGTCCAGCCCCGGCTACGGCGCCCAGTGCGGGACTCCCGGCATGCTCCGCGCGGGGCCGGGCCGGGCCCAGAGCTGCCAAAATGGCCGACTTCGAGGACCGGGTGTCGGACGAGGAGAAGGTAGGGAGCGGCCGCCCCCGCCCTGCGGGTCCCCTGCTTCCTCACGGACCGGCCCAGCCTAGCGCTGCGGGGCGCCGGGAGCCCTACAGCGGGCAAGAGCTGCCCGTGGCTCCTCCCTTTCCTCGGGCCCATTCAGTTCGCAGCCCCGTTCCGTTCCCACGCGCGCAGCCCCAGCTCTCCGCCCGCCCGCATCTCTTCGGTGCGGAGCGAGGAGCTGAGGGGACGGGGCGTGGAGAGAAAGGCTCGTATTGAAAAGTGGAGAAAGAATAGATCGTTCCTTTGACGCGGGGATGTGGAAAAATTGCTGTCTTAAAAACAGCGCTGAGTTGCTACAAAGGAAAAGCTGGCAGCCTATGGCCATTTCTTTCCCACACAGCACAGCTAAAAACAGCACCCACAGCTAAAAACAGCACCCACAGCTACTCTTCCTTGCATCGTAAAACTATTGCGTGTGGGTTTTTTGGGTTTTTTTTTGCTTTGCTTATTGCTTTGGGATGTCAACATTCGTAGATCCTCAGGGATTCTGTGAGCACACAGTTTTATTTTCCTCTCCAGCTGCCTGCTCGTGCTTATTGACAGTGGCTGCATGGTGAAGGAGGCTGGCAGGGTCTTCTGATCGATGCGGCCATCAATGTGGTTTTAGATCACAGCAGCATCAAAACGAATATTTCAGAGCAGAATTGGTGTGGAACTGAAATCTCTCCAGTGTTGTATCAAATCTTTGACCTGCTTGGCTGCTGCAACAGAAAGCATTGCGTTTGAAATGAAAATGAAGAACAAAGCTTTAGCAAGTTTGAGAGCAAAGGAAGTGAAGTGAATTGCCTTTGGTAACCTCGCAGGTCATGAACAGAGCTGGAAAGTAGAACCAGATCCCTGTTTTAGGCTATAAATGAACTTATCTCTCAGTCTGGGAGCGAGAATCAGGATTTAGAGTCAGCTGGGCTCTTTTTCCACTGCATTCCCTGAAGTCTGCAGTTCCTTCACAGCACTTTCAGAAGGATGCATCCTGCACTGCATGTGCCCCAGCGTTTCATTTGTCCAGGCAGATAGGATTTCACTTGAAACAGGAACCCTTGTTCAACTTTGTGTCCCAGCACAAGCAGGTTTGAATCAGTCTAAGTAGCTCCATGCCTAGCACTGGTAGAAGATGGTAATGAATTCTAAGAAACATGCAGCAGAGCTTTATTACAGCATCCATTTAATAAACAAAGAAACCAACAATCAAACAAATGGTAAAATTCATTTATTCCCTCACACCTCCCATCCTTATAAGCCTCACTTGAGGAAAGCCAGGGCTTGGGAACCAGGCCTGCTGCAATGTGTTTTCTAACTTCTATTCTGCTGCTGTTTTGCCAGCTTTACCAAAGAGCTGGGCAGCTTCTCTATCAGCAGCTCTCCCCATTTTGGAAAAAGGAAGTCAGTGTAGTTAGCTTGCTGCAGAGCTACCTGAAATGGCAGCGATGGGCAGGAAGTGGGGCAGCTTGCAGAAAGCCTTATTTTCATGCTTCTGCAAAAGAACTTCCTGCCACTGTGCTGACACTGCTCCGAAACAAACCAGACCTAAAAACGACAAGTAATAGTGATTCAAATGCTTGGCATTTAGGATTAAGTTCTCTATTGTCTACTTCTTGCACTCCGCTCCTGATTTCAATGGTTTGATTTAAATGCTTTTTATTTTATTGCTCCACAACAGAATCAATGCAAGGGCTGCTTTAAAACAGTGAGTGGTTTTCTGTGGCAGAGTTTGCTTTGTGTCTGGTTTTGTGAGGACACATAATGGAAATGAAGTCCTTTCTGTGTTGACTTAATTTTATACATCCTTCCTGTGTTGATTGAATTTTACACATCCTTCCAAGGCAGAGGAATGTGGAAGACTAAAAATCCCTCCTGCAATATTTATTTCCCCCCCCACCCCCATATGTTTTATCAGAAACTATAGACCTAGAAGTCCACCTCCTATAACCATGGTCCCTTTCTACCATACAGAGCACAGTTCTGCAGCCACAGCATTGTGTACACAGAGTAATTTTTATGGCTTTTAGAGGGTTTTTTTCCATATGTTGAGCACCTTGTAAAAAGTAATCTGTTCATCTGGAGAATTAATTTGCAGTGCACATTCTAGTGCAGTCCTCCCACTGAAATGAATCTTGGCATGAAGTGGTACATGAGCTCCAAGTACTGTATCTGCAAATGCTTTGGTGCAGTCTGATACAGCTGTACTGATGCTAACACTTGCACTTTCTTAGAAAAGCACATGGTATAATTTCCAGAGTGTTTCAGCCCTTCAGGGCTGTCTGTCAGAGAAATCCACAGAGGATACAAAACAGAAGCATCCCTCTTAATTACTGCTGGGTTATCTTCGTCACCATCCGAGCTTCCAACAGCGAAGTCTTAACAAGTCTGTGAAGCAGTACATCCTAATTACAGTTCTTTGGACAGTGAAAAGTTTCACACAATAAGAACGACATTACTACAATCCTGACATACTTATCAGCCTTCTTTAAAAGCAGGAAATGATGAGAAAATGGTTTTACATTTTTACTAATATGAACTATACAAGTTACCAACTTAAGTCAACAAACTTTAGTCTAAGTTTTCCACTCATACTGCATAATTATTTCATGCATGAAGAATGCACATTTTTTCAAAATAGACTCTAATTTGGAAAGCAATCTATTTTTATCTGAAGCTCCGCCCAATTAATGCAGAGTTGTTACTTGATACTGTTGGAATAAGGCAATTTACCCTTTGTTTGGAAAGGTGTGTGTTTTCTTTCATGGCTTGCTTTTAATCATTATGAGACAATTGATACAAACAACTTTATTTAAAACATGGCAGACAGGAGAGAAGCAGAGTGTTTTTCCAGCTGTGTCAGTAATTCAGTTGAAATAGGTGAATACTCCAAAATAATCCCAGACTTGTATATGGGATTTTTGGTTACAGTGCAATTTTATTTTTCAGAAGGGAACTGCTTTTGTTTTTACAGCCTTAGTTTACAGATATTTGGGTATTTTCCTTCCAGTTGGCCTTTTCTCTTATTTATTGTATCACAGTTCCAGATGCCTTAATTCTTTCCCTACAGTGACAGCTCATGGCTGGACTGTGCTGCAGTTTCCAGTAAAAGACTGCTGCAGGATAAGGGAAGGAGTAACATGCCAGAGCAGGGTGGCAAGTAATCCTTGAGAAAACATGTGCCAGAAAAGCTGGTACACTGCATGGAGTAGTTCCAGTTCTTTTTGTTAACTACAGACTTCAAAGAGACAATAACTCTTGAAAGCATAGCATGACATCGATAACAAGAAACCAGGACGTCCTGTAACGAAGCCCTATTCAGCTCCTGACAAAGTCAGCAACAAATCCATAAGTCAGGGTGAGGTTAAACAGGTTTCCTACACTGTTTCCAGATAGGTTTAGGGTCTAAGACTTTGAGTACATACACTCAGTGTTCCTGCACAGGTCATCATGCTGCATGGATGAAAAGCTAAATGTTTGTGTAATGGATACACAGATACACATTTGCATACAATATTGCAACTCTTACAGAGAGTTAAACAGTACTGTGAAGGTTGAACAGTTCCCATTTTTTTTAGTTACCCATGTGGAGTTGGCTCTTCTTGCTGAGCATCTGAAAAAAATACCTAGTCTTATGAGACTGATGGTTTCCACTTTGAAAACACACACCTGGGTTTCTCCCTGAATCTGATATTTAGTGTTTCTGTTTAATTGCTTTGGAGTAGGTTGCAGTATGTATGAATTCAGTAAGTGGTTTTTGTCTTAACAGGTGCGTATAGCTGCAAAATTCATCACTCATGCCCCTCCTGGAGAATTTAATGAAGTATTCAATGGTAAGTAAAGAAAAGCCATCAGTAGCATTTTATTCACATCTCATTCACTATGAGAGACTGTGTCGTGATACATTGCTTTAAGGTCAAGCAGAAGTGGGGAAAAGCATGCTGCCATTCTGTGACTACTTACCCTTAATAAAATGATTTAATCAACAACGTTTATGTTTGTACAGTTGAAAATTAGAGAAACATTTGATCAAAAAACCAATAACTTACTTGAACACTCCCTTCTCCAGATGTCCGGTTATTGCTTAACAACGACAATCTTCTCAGGGAAGGAGCAGCACAGTAAGTATTCATGTTTCAAGCATACCAAAAAGAGTATGCCTCTCTGTGGTGGTAGTTTGACTTACACCCATCATGCTGGAACAAAGGAAGCCATTTGTTCTATTGAGAGCAGTCTGCTGTAGTTCCTTATCCCCCACCGAAATATATAATGAAAGGCATGGCTGGTTCTTTTTAAAAGGCTTAAATTGGAATTTGTGATGTAGAGGCCCTATATAACTGACAGGAAGGCAGTCTGCCAAAAAGGGTAATTCTGCAGCAGCAAGAATGGCTGATCTTGTTGAAATGTGATTTGGTGAGCAAGTGAAGCCTGAAATTCTGAGTAGTCCTCAGCCAATGCTTAAAAAAAAAAAGCTGCCTTCAAAAAATGCTGTCAGAGCATCTTGTTTACTTGTGCAGTCTCATCAGAAGGTGCCTACATGTTATGCATACAGGGCTTCTGATGTTTTATTTAGGTCTGTGTGACACATCTGTCAGCAGGTCTTGACAGAAGAAAATTGTTATAAACATTAGTCTACTCATATTTGTTTACCTTGCTGCCTGTTTTGCATCAGCTTGCTCATTTTCCCTCAGGCTGCCTTCTGTTCTACTTTTGAACTCTGTACTTTAATGATCATTAAATAAGCCTGGCTTTAGACCCAGATTATTACAGCTATCAATGTGTGGATTATTTGCAAGTGGCAATTTTCCCTGTAGTATGAGTCACACCATGTACTTATTACTAAGAGAATATAAATGTGTATGTACAGCTAAATTCCATGCTCTTAATTCTTAACAGTGCATTTGCACAGTACAACATGGATCAGTTCACTCCGGTGAAGATAGAAGGGTATGATGATCAGGTAAGGAAAAACTTTACACTCAAGTTTTGTGTTACTGCCCTGCACGGAAGCAGTAAGTATTTTGTTTTATCAGGATCTTTATGATCTTCTTCCTACCTGCAAGTTATCATCTTTCCTTCTTTCCCCACACCATCCTTGCATTACCAAATTGTTGTTCTTGTATAAGAGGCAGAGGTGAGATCTTCTTAGAGCATTGTCTATTACTACCTGGTGACTAATTCATTGTTAGGTAAAGCTCCACACTGAAGTCATTGGAATTCCAGTTCAAGTATGAATGATTAAAGATTGCTGTTTATTTAAAGATTATTTAAACACTTTACTGCATGCTCACAGTTCCTACTGATAGGAGTGAATTCTTAGTGTTATTTTTTCCTGTGGTCTCACATTTATAGCAGCATAAGAGCATTTTGATTACTGTTTCTTATTTTTCAGGTCTTAATCACAGAACACGGTGATCTGGGCAATGGCAGATTTTTAGACCCAAGAAACAAAATCTCTTTCAAGTTTGATCACTTAAGGAAGGAAGCTAGCGACCCCCAGCCTGAGGACACAGAATCAGCTTTAAAACAATGGAGAGATGCCTGTGACAGTGCACTGAGAGCTTATGTGAAAGATCATTACCCCAATGGCTTCTGCACTGTTGAGTATTCACCTTGTTTGATGGAAAATCTTTGCTCTGTGTCATTCAGTGCTTTGAGTGGATTCTGTGCTGGGCAGTGCTTTTTGAGTTTTGTCTTCACTGGTGTTTTGGCTGATTTTGGAATAAATTCAAGAAGGGTGTAAATAATTCTGGTATGCACATAGTGGTAAAGATTTATTAGACTATTGTTCATATTCATGACTGCCAAGTACCTTAACACCTGCAATTAAAGAATAGGAGGCATTATTTGCACATAACTACAGGTGGAAGTACTGGACAACTTAACTAGTGGTACACATTCCCAGTGAGATTCCACAATAGGAAGCCTCCACAGCACTGAAGTTGCAAGTGGTTTTCCTCAGCACTTGTGCTGATTTAACTCTTTTTTTTCCTGAATACAGGTTTATGGTAAATCTATAGATGGACAGCAGACAATTATTGCCTGTATTGAGAGCCATCAGTTCCAGCCCAAAAATTTCTGGTAAGACTACTTACACAGTATTTTCTTCCTTTACTACACTTCAAATAAACCCTTCCTCTACTTGCCTTGAAAGTTAAGATGCCTTTGGCTTCTCAAGGGGTTCTGTTTCTCGTTCTTTAGTCTATTTTTCCTTGCCAGCCCCTGATGCTTCCCTAAGTCATAGCTCAATGACTTACCCAGAGAAAAAGCAGCTAGCAGGGCTAAATAGATACCCCCTTACATATGCCAGAGCATAAGTATATTGGAGCCAGCCTGTAACAGATGCATGGTGTTGGAACTATGCTTCAGAAATTGAGTTCATTGGCATATAAAGCACTTCAGTAACAATGTCAGAGCAGCAGGACCTAGTTGTTCACATTAATTTAGCTTTTTTTTTTTTTTTCTTAGCACTTACTGCAAATACAGTTTTCATGCTTCATCTGTTTTTAGGAATGGTCGCTGGAGATCAGAATGGAAGTTTACCATCACACCACCAACAGCTCAGGTGGCTGCAGTGCTCAAGATCCAGGTGAGCTGCATTGTCTGCAATAACAGGAAAAACTGCTTGTCATACACTATTGCATTTGCTCAAAATGAGATGCTGAAACTCAGCAAGTGTCCTTCTGGAGTCAAGATATTACTAAGCTATACAATTCTATACAATTCAAGAAATTAATTCTTAAAGCTTCATATTTTTGGACATTGTCTACAGCCTGGCCTGTGATTTATTGTATAGTATCATCCTATATGCCTCCAAGTGTTTGACTTTATCAGGCTAAAGCCTATTCTGATTCTATATACTTATATATATGTAATTGCTCTTATTTCAACTCTAGGCGTTTACTGCATTAACATAATCTTGAACAGTCTTGACAAAGAATGAAACCTTTTAGAAAATCCATCCTGCTTTTAGTCTCCACGTAAGCAGAGAAGACTGGCACAACAAAGCTGTTGTGCCATTCTGGTAGCATTTGGGGGCTCTAGGGATTATAAAATGAGTATTAATGATAACCTGTGTTTTGTCTTTGTTTAGGTTCATTATTATGAAGATGGTAACGTTCAGCTGGTTAGTCACAAAGATATCCAGGACTCTGTACAGGTTTCAGTAAGTATGCCAAAACACTTTTTTCAAAGATAAAGCAGCTATTTTATTTCTTAAACGTCTCATGAGGGATATGCTTGTATGACTACATTCCACTGAGTTTTAATTTAAAACTACACTGAGTAGTCACCCTTAGGGTTTTTTTCTTGGTTGTATGAAATACACAGACTCTTAATTGTTTAAAATAAGACAGTATTAGAAAGTACAGTCTCCATTGGACAGCTTACCTTAAGAGTGTCATTTAAAGAGCGCAGAGTACACCTTTCTATATACAGGCTATGGAAACCAAGTCAGTATTCTCAGGGAAAAATAAGTAGCCCTGCAGCACACTAGGGGGAGCAGTAGTCAAAATCCCTAGTTTATACCATTAAGGTTTACTTGCCTTTTGCTCACAAGGGTGAGTCCTGTTTCAGTTTGAAGCACAAGCTCAACCTGGTATCTTGAACTCCACTGAGATATCTGTAGTGAGCAGAAGAAACCACTACAAATACCAGCAGCTTTCATCTCATGTTATCCACTGTGTCTGTACTCAGCCTCTCATTTGAGAAGACATCCATTAAAAATGTTATTTTTAAACATGAAAATTGTTGTTTTTTTTTTTTCCCCTCTTTGCAGAGCGATGTTCAGACAGCTAAGGAATTTATTAAGATAATAGAAAATGCAGAAAATGAGTACCAGGTAAAAATCAGTGGTTGTTAATCATGTTGGAATCATATCAATCTTCATTTATGAAAATTGACCTCAAATTGTGCTCCTGACTTAATCTAGCATTGACTTTAAGAATTAGTTAGAAAAGGGCATTAGTTGCCAGAATCTAATTGTAAAGTTATGTGTAATTATTAAGTTTGCTGTATAGTAATTTTAAAGGGTTACAAATGATGCCTGGAACAAGCATGGAAAGGGAGTGGGTGGGTGTAAATGTTTTCCTCTGTGTGAGAGCTTTTTATATTGTCCCAGCCATGCTAGAAGGAGACTTGATGCAGATAAGTCAGTGAGGCACCTAAAGTGGACACTGCTATGTATGTGAGGGTTCAGTAGAAACCATTTACTTACACACAGCCTTGTAACTGCATTATTGATTTGGTTGTAGCGTGCATTCCTCTCATAGAAAAAGGCTTCATGGCTTTAACAGTCGTGCTTTTTCAGAGCATCTTAGCACTGCTCTAACTGAATCTCCTTGCTATTGCAGACAGCAATCAGTGAGAACTACCAGACTATGTCAGACACCACTTTCAAAGCCTTACGCCGGCAGCTGCCCGTCACCCGCACCAAGATTGACTGGAACAAAATCCTCAGCTACAAGATTGGCAAAGAAATGCAGAATGCTTAATACGGAAATAAGGAGCTGTATGAAATGTTTGTGTGCAAAAAAAAAAAAACAAAAAACAAATGTGGTCCTATGCCAAGTAGATGGTTTCTAAACCAGTGCAGCATATTTCTAGGGCTTTCAAAGTTGACAGGTTTTCTAGCCTCAGAGAGAACTGTGGAACAAATAGCATTGTCTTTGTGTTTTGTGTTTCCTGCCACGTAAGCTTCCTCTTGTGATTGCATATACTGATAGGTCATTTTAATTAAACCACATTCATGGTTCAGAAGTATCGCTGTTTTCAATCACTAATTGTACTGGTTGGAAAACTGCCTAGCTGCAAAAGCCCTATTATAAATACATCTGAGGGTGCAGGGCATTTCCTTCACCTGTATACAGCACTCCAGGTACTCCAGTAAGTTTGTCAAATCTGCCAACAGCTCAAGGCACTATGCTGCAAGTTGTAATAATACAAGACACAGTAAGTGCTCCCAAGCATCCTTACTACAGACCTCCACAAAGCAAAAGCCTGTAGGCTTGGATTTTACTATACATAATGAGTTTACAATAACCATTACAGAAATTCCTACACAGCTAGCTCTTCCAGGGACTTTTTTTTCCTCCAATCTGAAGATTTGAGCCATGTTCCCTTAGAAGTGAAGGTTTTTGCTCTCCCTTATGTATGTACAGTTATCAGACATCTGCATTTTTATGGAACTCCGAGCTGGATCGCTGCTGATCTGTGGAGACTGGATTAGATTAAAAATGCAAATGTCTGCAAAATAGTTATGTTGTGCTTTAATGCTTTGTGGCAGGTTCATAAAATTTGTATCACAGGTGTATGGATGGATAGCATACAAAATAAATAAACTTGAACCAAAGTGGGAGGAACAGCTTTTCCATTTTGTCTCTCTTGTGGCCAGTTTCTTGTCATACTAAGGGGAATTCTGGAATTAATATCTTCATTGCTCTTAACTGCTTGCTCCATGTTAATTTGTCCTTCTGTAAAAATCAAGAATAGCAGTCCTATCAGTTTCTCTGCCTGGGATAGTGAAGAGACGTGCATGCTTTCTCCTCAGTCAAAACTTGCAACTAGTTTCATCACAACATAAAACCCCTTTGGTTCACCCACTTTGCCTTGTTTACACTTGGTTATCAATGGGCCTTTTTTTGCAGGTTCTGTTTTTTAAACTGGCTAGTGTCTTCCTATTTTTTTAATTACACAAAGAGCTCGAGAAGATAGGGACAGGACAGGACTGCCTGTGCATTGCAATTCAGGTTTTGCACAGTAATATCATGTACCCTTTGTGAGATATTTTGTCAAAATAAAATATATTTGTATTTGCTGTTGAAACTGACCGTTCGTAGTACAGGCACCCTCTGTATAGTCTAGTAGAAATACACCAGTCTGTTTTAAAGCCATTCATGTCTGTTCTTTCCTGATGACTGCAAACAGAACTGCAGATGACAAACTGAAAGCTGCCGTGGTATTGCTTGCAAACATCCACCAGCCCTCCCACCCCGACATGGGGACCAGGGAACTGGAGTTGAAGTCTGTCAGGTTCAAAGAAAAAAAGCACCACATTTTAACAAAGCACTTCACCATGGTAAAACAACAGATTAGGGGGTTTCTGCTAATCACCAGTATTGTTGCAACATCTCCTAACCTCCTGCTCAGCTTGTGTAACAGCACTGGATACATGCATACCATGCTCAGAGTAGCTCCTTTGGAGGGGACTTTCTAAATCAACATAAATCCTAGGTCAGGCACATTAGACAAAGCAAGACTGCCTTAATGCTAGCAGTGTTTGTGCTCTGCCCTGTTTGCACACAGCTGTGCTCAGTGCTGCTGAAGGACAGACCATACCTTCTGCTGGCAGTGTTTGCAGAAAGGTTTCCTGCCTGTGCTGCTGGAGGAGGTGAAGCACAGTGCAGAGGAGATGCTGTGGCTGTGGGCCTATCCAGACAGGCACTGCAGCAATTTCAAGAATGTGAAGCTGAAACAGAGGCCTGAGATAACGCTGCACACAACAGAACTTTTATCTACCAGCACAGCCTCAGCCTCAAGGCCAGTCTCTTCCTGCCCTGGGTTACTTTGCAAGTAGTTCACTGCTTGTCCTAGCTTAACGATTGAGAGGACAGAGTGTTTTACCTTCAGAGAACCTTCTTTTAGGGCCAGTTCACTCCCTCACTGACCTCCTCACCTTCTTGCTCCATCAGCTTCCTCTGCAGCACTCACCTATCCTTACCCTTTGCCCAGCTCCTTAGAAAGGAAACAAGATTCAGCATAACACTGCAGCTGAGGCACTGAAGTGCTGGTGATGACACATCCTGAAAGCTGCTCTATCTGAAAAGCTGTCAGCTGTTCCCAGCCAGAGGTTTCAGATGAAACTGAGGCCAGCTTGAAACTGGTACATTGGTGTGCAGCCACCAAACACCGAGCCCAGCCACTCACAGCAAGGGGGCAACGCAGCTTGACTAAGCTAGTGAAGCTCAGACAGTTTTCCTACTTATTTACAACATCAGACTTTAAATTCCCAACATCCTAGAAGTAGAACATGACAAAAATGCTCAGAAGCGACTTTTTCCAAGAGCAACATCTGCATTTTCCAAGCCTCAGAGCCCTCCCACAACCTGCCCAGGACCCCAAAGCATAGCCAGGAGTCACCCAGCTGCACTGACAGCAGCCTTACCCCAGCTCCTCGTGCTGCAGGCAGTCCCAGGGCCTCAAGCTGCTTCACAGGAGCAAGTTGAGAATCCCCCATCCCTCCTAGGCAGGCTGTAGAATCAAAGCCTAGAAAACTAGCAGTAGAGACAAACACCCAGCGCTGTCGCCGCCCTACTTATGGAGCAGCAGTGCGAGCTGTGAACCCACACCCCTCATCACTGCCTACAGCACACCTGGGTGCTCCTCGTGGAGCCTTGACAGCACAGGACTGAGCCCGGCCCCCCGCAGCTCCACTGCCCGGCCCTGACCCCCCTACCGGATGCGGGCTTTGGGCTGGGGGCTGGTGGCGCTCGGGGGGCGGCGGAGCGCGGTAGGGGCGGCCCCATCCCCGGGCGGGCGGTTCCGTGGGGCGTTCGGCCCCTTTCGCTTTCGTTTCTCTTGCGGAGGCAGACCGGCTCGGCACGGCGCTGCTCGGCACAGCCATGCCGCGGTTCAGCGTGGCGGAGGCGAGGCGTTACGGGGATCAGTTCGTGCAGTTCTTACGGGATACGGACCGGGAGCAGGAAAGCCGGAGGGACGTGCTGCGGGACATCTACAGCCAGGAGTTCCGGGCCAGGTGAGAACTGCATCGCTGCGGAGCCGGGTGCCGGGCAGCGGTGGCCCTCGGGGCTCTCCTCTGTCACCCGCTGGGATGGGATGAGGGCTGAGCGCTTCCGAGGAGACGCCCGGACCCGTGGAACTCCATGCTCAGGGCCCTGCTCCTGGGGAATATAAAGCGGTGCTGCTGGGCAGCTTGACTCCTGCAGCACGGAGGGCACAGCGACTTCTTCAGACGTTGCTCTGTGCCCTCTGTGCCACCCACTTCAGGGGGCATTCCTGGCTGCAGAGACCCCCGGCAAGAGACTGGGTGCAGCCTTGGGCATCATTGTCCACCCGCTCCCCACCTCACCCTGCTGACACTGGTCACGCTGGCCCCTGTGCGGCGTCACCGCTGTTAATCATTTGCAAAGACAGAGTTCATCCACCACGGGACGTGCCCCAGCACAGAAGGAGGTGGGCCCCATCTGCACAGGGTCAGCCTTTGGGTGCAGGGCACTGTGCACCTCTGTGCAGCCTCCACCCTACCACCCAAGTGCTGGCAGGGGCAGGACTGCAGAGCTGGCAGGGCACAGCTGGAGAGGCCGTGGCACAGCACAACAGTGCTGGAACAGCCTGCAGGGCTGTAAGGTCTGAGTGGAGCAAGAAAGCCCCCGTCCTTTTCCCTTCCCTAAAGTAGAGGGAATGGCTGGTGTGAGGGGCCCTGCTTTACCCCTGCTCAGCATTCTCCTCCTCACCCAGATCATCTCTATATGTAGGACTGACACGAGAACGCCCAGTTTCTCCTCCATCCTGTATGCCCTGAGAGCATCCCAGCGGGCGCAGGTACACGGGCAGACCGTGCGCTTCAAGAAGGTAATGGAGGCCCTGAGCTGGGGCTCTGGTGGGGTTCCAGCTCCCAACAAGACCCCGACACACACTGAGGGGCTGTGCCCACACTGATGCTGGCTGCTCCCGGCAGGAGAGGAGGCGGGTTGTGGTGGCAGATCAGTACCGCAGGCCCAGGACAGACGTTGAGGTGTCTGCACCCACTGCAGGCCAGCAGCCCAGCTCCGGACCACCGGTGCCACAGAGCCGTGCCAAGAAGTGGTAATACTCCCAAATCCTGCACAGGAGCTCCTGGTACCCCCCACTACAGCTGGGGAGACCTCAGTGCCCCTTTCCTGCAGGGCCGAGTTCATCCGTGGGAAGCATGGGGTAGAGATCATCTCAGAGTACGACCAGGCAAATGGGCAGATCCGCTTCCCTGTGGCTCTCGGCGAGACGAAGACATTCACTGTGCAGGTGCAGAACCACGGCGCTGAAGCCGTGACGCTGCACCGCTGCCGTCCCCTCTACTGCGTGCGGGAGCTCTCCTTCCTGGATGAGCAAGGGGTGACACAAGGCCAGGCGCTGCTGCTGCACCCAGGTACTGCCTGGCCCCACTCCCTGCTGCCTCAGGGATGCAGGATGCAGACCCAGCTCTCCCCCCTCCCCTCTTGCAGGCGGTGCGTATCCCATCCAGGTACGCTGTCAGACCAGACAAAATGGGTTCTTCCGTGCCGTGGTGGTGTTTGAGTTCAGCAAGGAGCTGGATGGGCCCTTCAGCATCGGGCGCTCCATTGCTGCCGTTGCTCAGAGCCAGCTGGCCAGGGAGCTGGGACCCTCGGCGCCCTACAGGCCCTACCAAGCCAGTCTGCAGCGCCCCATCACTGTCATCACCGAGGACGGAGTGCCCCCTGCCAGGTACAGGGCCATCACCCACTGCTGTCCTATGTGGAGAGCCCTGGGCATGGCTCTGCTAAAGGGACTTGTGCTGGCTGTATGGCTGCTTCATCTTGGGGGGGTCAGTGGCAGCGGGCTTTGGGACACAACCCCTGCAGCATCGCTGTTCCCCCACCCAGCTCCCTGAAGAATGAGCTGGAGAAGGAGATCCCCCTGGGCACCTACCCGTACCCCAAGAGCCTCAAGGAGACCATCATGCTCGGGCCCAAGACCAACCCTGACTCCAGCTGGATGAAGATGAAGTGAGTGCTGATAGGGAGGGGAATGCCTCCTTGCACCATGCACACCCCATTGCTGCCCCATGTCCCAAGGGCTGTGCTGGGCATGGTGACATCTAGCCTCACATCTCCAGGTCACTGCTGGAGGCTCCGTTGCAGCCTGAGAACTACAAGCAGAAGTTTCAGCTGCTGCTGCACCTGGAGGAGATCCAGCTGGAGGTGGACATCCGCCGCTACGACCTGCAGGAGGTGCCCATGGTGCAGAACGGCACGCTGCTGCTCCTCAACGTGAGTGAGGACTGCTGTGGGGCACAGTGGGGTGGGGGCAGCTCCGAGGAGCCAATGTGACACCTCACTGCAGGTGCCTGGTGTGGCTGAGAATCGCCCGTCGGTGCTGCGGGGCGACCACCTCTTTGCCAGCCTGAGCAGCGAGCGGGACAGCTCCCCACGCGTCCTGTACAAGGGCTACGTGCACGGCGTGGAGATGGAGAAGGTCCAGCTTGGCTTCTCCCCCAAGTGAGTGAGCCCTTCCCCTGGGCTGGGGGCGGCTATGGGGCAGCATCCCCTCTCACCCCACTCCTTCCAGGCTCATGAAGAAGTTTGTGAACGATTTGAAGTTCGACGTGACCTTCACCTTCAGCCGCCTGCCGCTGCAGGTGCAGCATCGCGCCGCTGCCATGGCCATGCAGAGGGGCCTGGACAGCGTGCTCTTCCCCTCAGCCTCCTGTCAGCGCTCGCTCTTCAAGGGCACCTTCCAGCCCCGGTGAGTCAGGGTGAATAGCAGCTCTGTGCATCGGGTGGAATCGAGTGGGGGGTGCTCAGCTCAGCCTCTGCATCTGCAGGTGGTTCGACCGCAAGCTGGAGGCGAACGAGGAGCAGTGCCAGGCTGTGAAGCACATCGTCACCGGGATGTCCCGACCTGCACCGTACCTCATCTTTGGACCTCCTGGAACAGGCAAAACTGTCACTCTGGTGGAGGCCATCAAGCAGGTGGGTAGTGGGGCTCAGGGCCAGCACAGGGCATCGCTGCCCAGCCCATGGGGCTCAGCCTTCCCTCCCCTCAGGTGTGGTCATGCTGCGAGGGTGCCCGGATCCTGGCCTGTGCCCCATCCAACAGTGCTGCTGACCTGCTGTGCCAGCGCCTCCTCACCAACATCCCGCCCCGTTACATCTACAGGATCATGGCCAGCTCTGCCAACTACAAGGAGGTGCCTGTAGACGTCAGGGTAGGTCTGTGCCCCCCTCCCCACCCCTGCAGAACAACCCTGAGGAGAAGGGCTCCCACCTAATGTTCTGCTCCAGCCCTGCTGCAATTGGGACGACAGTGAGAAGCGCTACGTGTATCCCAGCAAGGAGCTGCTGCAGCCCTACCGGATCCTCATCACCACACTGGTGACAGCAGGAAGGTCAGGGCATCCCCATGGCCCCTGGGGTTGCCTTGTGCCTGGCTGCAGGGACAGCCTCAATGGAATGCAATAAGAGGGGATGTAGGGAGCACATGAGGAGGGTGATGACGAGGGAAGGTTGTGCAGGCAAAGCTGCTCATGCCACCTCACTCCACCTCTCTTCAGGTTGGTGTCAGCCAACTTTCTCCCAGGATATTTCTCCCACGTCTTCATTGATGAGTGTGGCCAAGCAGTAGAGCCAGAGAGCGTTGTGGCAATCGCTGGTGAGTGGCCCCTGGCTGCCTCCCTGGGTCAGCATTGCTGCCCAGCACTCCCTGCTCCCTGCTGAGCTCCCTCTGCCCAGGGCTGCTGACCGCCATGGACCCAAACACCAACCCCAATGGAGGACAGCTGGTGCTGGCAGGGGATCCCCAGCAGCTGGGCCCTGTCCTGAGGTCACCACTGGCTGCACAGCACGGCTTGGGTGAGTGAGGGCAGGGCTGGGGGTGGCACAATGCCTGAATAACATCGCGGGAACCATGGGTCTGACTGCATGCAGGCACCTCACTGCTGGAGCGCCTGATGCTGCACAATGCACTGTATGCCAAGTCAGATGAGGGCTACAACCCGCAGTTCGTCACCAAGCTGCTCTGGAACTACAGGTAGGGACAGGGCTACGCAGCTCAGTGCAGGGCACCTGGTGTCATCCCACTCCTGATGGGTGCCATGGCCCTGGGGATGGGGCAGACCTGCAGCCCCGGGTGCCTGGTGCCCAAGGAGAGCATCAGGCCTCTCCTGCACACTGTCATGCCTCCTCCAGGTCCCACGAGGCCATCCTCAAGGTGCCCAACGAGCTCTTCTATGACAGTGAGCTGAAGGCGTATGAGGGCAGCGAGCTTGACGTGCGCAACTTCTACTGCACCTGGGAGGAGCTCCCCAGAAGAGTAGGGGGGCACCAGGGAGAGGGGTGGGAGGAGCCCCTGCACTGCAGCTGAGCTGATCCCAATTCTTTGCCCCAGGGCTTCCCCATCATTTTCCATGGGGTGTGTGGGGAGGACGAGCGGGAGGCCAAGAGCCCCTCCTTCTTCAACACGGCCGAGATTGAGGTGGTGGTTCAGTACCTGCAGAAGCTGCTGCAGAGCCAGGGCCGGCGCGGCTGCCCCACCATCTCACCCAAGGAGATCGGCATCATCTCTCCCTACAGGAAGCAGGTGCAGGCTGAGGGAAGCAGGATGGGGGAGTTGGGGTGGCTCAGCCTCCCCAGCAGCTCCGCTGCAGCACATCCCTTGTCTTCCCCAGGTGGAGAAGATCCGCCTGGCCATCACCTCTAAGGACCCCATGCTGAAGGCACTGCCAAAGATTGAGCAGCTGAAGGTACCCAGGGCCCCACACATCACTGAGGGAGGTGATGGAGCCCCAGTCCCTCTCACCACAACAACTCCCACACCCCAGGTGGGATCTGTGGAGGAGTTCCAGGGTCAGGAGCGCCGTGTCATCCTCATCTCCACCGTGCGCAGCTGCAGTGAGTACCTGCAGCTGGACCAGACCTTCCGCCTTGGCTTCCTCAAGAACCCCAAGGTATGGCCCCCAGCCCTCTGGCAGAGCTGCTATGGGCGCAGGTACCCCACAGCCAGGAGGTGAATACAAGGGAAACCCCAACTCTGCTCCTTTGCTCAGAGGCTCAACGTGGCACTCACCCGGGCAAAGGCGCTGCTGATCGTGGTGGGTAACCCGGCTGTGCTCAGCAAGGACCCACACTGGCACAGGTGAGCCTGCAGACTCCCCAGGCCCCCCCGCAGCCCCACACCCGCTGCCCACACCCCACTGCGTCCCCAGGTTCCTCAGATACTGCCGGGATGAAGGAGCCTACAGAGGATACGACGAGGAGCCCCCCGAGGAGGACAGCCTTGCCAACCACCTCGACTCCCTGCACCTCGGCAATTAACGGCCAGGTAACGCGCGGCTCAGCACGGGCAGGAGCTGCTCTCTCTGTGCTGCTCCCGAGCCCTCTGCTGTCCCCGCAGGAGCCCAGCACAGCCCCGCGGAGCTCCGGCATCCCCGACCCGGCCCCATCCCGCAGCCGCCTCCTGCTCTGCCCCCTGGAGCCGGGCTGTGAGCTGGATGGAACCCACCGGCTGTCCCATGGAGGGCTGCAGCTGCGGCTGAGAGCCCAACCCAGACCGTGGGGCTGAGCCCCGGGACCACCACCGTCTTATATATATTTTTTTAAAATCTTAAGCAGTTTTTTTGATACAACTGTGGAAAACCAATTGTGACTGCTGGCCCCAGCCCGCATGCTGAGCCACGTGCAGCACACCTACCTTTGTGCCCTTGGAATAAACGTTCAGAAAAAAACGCTTTGTGTTGAGTCCTGGGTGGGGGGTGAGGGTCTGCAGGGGCAGCCAAAGGGATGCCACACATGCAGCATTACAATTACTCAAATACCAGTTAGCATTTATTCTCCCAGTTACTCAGCTGAACATACTGGTGCTAAGAGTCTATGAGGAACCTGGACTCGAAGAAGGCACCGTCATTCTAACGCTGGATGTGGGGGCAAGGCACTGCCCCAGGGCAGTCCCAGGGTGCAGGGCACTGCTGGCACTCCTCAGAGCATGGCTCTGCAGGACAGGGCTGAGCACAGCCCTGGTGGGTCCATAAAAGGCCAAGAGGGCAGTTGTGGGGCCAGCACACTGCGGGGAACAGCCAGCAGCCCCCGCTTCTGCCAGCCCTGCTCAAGGCAGAGAGACCGCACAGCCCATAGAGGGCGATGGGGAACGAAGGCATCGCCCCACAGCGTGGCACAGGGATGCCCCAGTGCCTGGGGACAGCTCTGGGGCAGAGGGTCGGGGACAGGCATGGAGCAGAGCCCTTCCTGCTCACAGCAGCGGGCAGCCCCGGCGCTTCTTGTTCTTGCGGACCTGCAGGCCTGCACGTGTGGCCATCTCAAAGACCTCCCGCACGCCCTCCTTGGTCTTGGCTGAGCACTCGAGGTAGCCAAAGGCGTTGATCCGGTTGGCCATGTCTCTCCCCTCCTCTGGCTTCACAGGCTCCTGGGCAGCATTAAAAAGGAGGGTTGGGAATACCGCCAAAAGCAAAAAGCACAGCAGCTGCTGCAGGGCATCCCCCCGTGCCCAGATCAGGGCTGCAAGAAGGAAGTCCCAGCAAAATAGCCCACAGTGAGGGGATCCCAGCAGTGGCACTCCACTGAGCGCACACCCAACCCCAGCATGTCCCCACCTGCTTCATCTTTGCCAGTTCCCGCCGTGTGTGCTCATCGTTGCGCAGATCCTTCTTGTTCCCCACCAGGATGATGGGCACGTTGGGGCAGAAGTGTTTCACCTCTGGAGTCCACTTCTCAGGGATGTTCTCTGCGAGGAGCAGAGTGCAGCTGTTGAGCTATGGGGCATTGGGACACACAGCAGTGCTGCTGCTCCGTGCAGGGCAGGAGGAGGGCATGACGAGCTGCAGCCCTGCACTGTGCAGGGGAACATGGAAATGCCCCACAGAGCCCCAGGGCCACCCAGCTGGGCATAACAGCCTTTCCCACCACGCACCAGCTCCCAGCATCTTCCTGGAGTGTGCAAAAAGCTGAGAGTGGAGCAGGGAGCCATAACACCCCCAAAGTGGCACAGGGACTTCCCAGAACCGAATATGCCAGCAGGGTCTCAGCCAGCAGGACCCCATGATGCACCCCCTGCTCCCTACCGAGGCTGTCTGGGCTGTCGATAGAAAAGCACATGAGGATGACATCCGTGTCCGGGTATGAGAGGGGCCGCAGCCGGTCGTAATCTTCCTGCCCAGCCGTGTCCCACAGCGCCAGCTCCACCTGTGGGCAGATCGACACTCAGCACCTCACAGACCCTCCAGGCAGCTCGTGGGGCCAGGAGAAATACTTGGTCTTCCTCAGCTGCAGTGAGGAAGAGGAGAGTCCTTTGCAAACTGAGGCATGGTTGGGGTAACCCAAAATCAGCAGTGCTGTAGGGCTCACTCTCGACTGCAGCATCCCATCACCACCTGCACAGTGTGGGGTCCTTACCTGCTTCCCATCCACCTCGATGTCGGCGATGTAGTTCTCAAACACGGTTGGCACATAGACCTCAGGGAACTGGTCCTTGCTAAAGACAATCAGCAGGCACGTCTTCCCGCAGGCACCATCCCCCACGATCACCAGCTTCTTCCTGATGGCTGCCATCACTGCAGGAACGAGAATGAGGGTGAGTGGGGCTGCAGGCTGCTCGCAGGGACCCCGTGCAATGCCACCGACTCCTCCACCTGACACTGAGACACGCATCTGTCACCTGTAATGCTGCAGAGCACCCAGCCCTGCCCACCAGACCCTGTGTGGTTTCCTCTCTCTGCTATCACCACAGAACACACAGCAACCTCAGCCACACACCCTCCTTTGGGATTTATGTTCAGATTATGCATTCTTTGGGCAGAAACTGCACCCTGGGTTGCACTCGTTAGCTCCTCTGTAATCAGCTCAGTGGCAGCAACACACCACACTTGTGAGCAACCCCAACCTGTGCCTGGCACCCGGTGCTGGGGCTGGCCCCATCCCAGCCCTGTCCCAAGGAGCCTGTGCCACTGCTGCAGCTGCACCAGGACTGCTGCCAGGCACTGCTCAGTGAGCACAGCCAGGGCCAAACGGGCTGCATTCTGCCCCTTGCACAACAGACACATTGCTGCAAGTCAAACCACACCTCGCATCCCACCACAGTCTGGGAATACTGGGAATGGCCCAGCATTGCCTACCCTGGGGTCCGAGGGAGGAAGGCAGCAGGGTGGGATCACACTGGGGTCCAACAGTTCTTTGGCATCTGCAGCTCCTTAGAAACCTCAATGCAGAGCCTGACCCATTTCATCAGCCCCACAGATGATCCCATCGGTTCCCCATCCATGCAGAAACCCCAGGCAAGGCACGTGATGACAGCTTGTGCTTCAGTCCCCATGCAAGCACACTGCTCTGTGCAGAGGAGGCTGTAACTCACTGCAAACCACTGGTGGAGCCCCAGATCCATGGGGCTGCATCCATCCTGAACCATGGAGGGGTCACCAGCACCCGAGCCCTACCCAAGGCTGCGGTGACTCACAGGGCAGAGGCCCTGTCCCCGCCCAAAATCTCAGCACAATTCATTCCATTACTCACCCAGCAGCCCAGAAATAGCCCATTGCTAACACACAGCCAGCCTCCAGTGAGCAGCACGGGAGGAGGCAGGGAGCAGTGCAGCCACGGCGCCCCTCAAGCTGCCCCCTCCCTGTGGGCACCTAGCATGGCACCAAGCAGCTGTTCTAAGGTCATCCCCACTAACACAGCAAGGGCTCTGGCACAGCTGCTTCAAGGCGAGCCTCTGCTGAGCTCTGTGCCTCAAAAACTGAAATTCCTGCCTAGCAGGAAATGGGGAATTCCTGGTAGGATGTATCTTTCACCCAGTTTCTGTTTCTGAACCTCGGGAAACAGCACAGAAAGATGTCACCACTTTGAAGAAGGGATTGCAACAGAAACAGAAACCTTCCCACTGGCCTCTCATCCTGAGATCCCATTCCCAAACCCCACCAGACCCAGCCCTGACCCCACAGCACTGTGCAGCCATGCGGGGTGGGGGGAACAGATCTCCAAGGACAGCAGCCGTCTCCGTCTGTCCCTCACTGCTGTGTCTGCAGCCTCTGCTGAACCTCAGTGTTTAACAAACAAGCGTCCTGAGCACTCGGACTGTTTGGATTTACTTCTGTTTGGAAGGAGCTGGGCTAATCGCAACACAAACCAGGTTCAAGGTTAGAACATCACCATGCAGTTAGCTGGGTTTCACTCCCCCAGGTGCTCAGGCAGCACAACCTGTGACACAGAGGAGACCTAAGAAAGCCTGCAGCACCTGAAGAGCACGAAACCCCAGCGGGGAACAAAACCATCACTTCCCAACCAGTGCAGCCAAGGACAGCAGTCTCCACTTCTAAACATGGCTTTGTGTGTTCAAAAGGCTGCAGCCGCACCCCGACGCACGCCAGGCAGAGGCACATCAGGACAGGCTCTGGGGGAGGTGCAGCACGGGAAGCACAAGCCCAGGGTGGGCACGGAGCATCCCTGGAGTGCTTCAGGGCTGCAGCTGAGCCCAGAGTTATGGGGAAATGATTTGGGGACAGTGACAGAGGTACACTGCAGCCATCACAACTCCAGCAGAAAGTCCCACGGCGCGGGATGACTTTCTGGCAAGGCTCAGTAATGGAGGGAGTCTCATACAGAAGCAGAACAAGATTCCAAAAACAGCTGGGAGGGAGGAGTGACACCACAGCACAGCACAGCAGCAATGAAGCTCGGGCTCTGGGGTCCTGTTTGCAAAAGTTTGGAGCTGCTCCTAAGGTCTGATCAGACACACTGTGTTACGCCAGGCTCCAGCACAGCAGCAGCGCAGGGCTGCCCTGCAGACAAGGGGCAGAGCAGGCAGTTTTCATTGCCAAATCCCACAAAAACATCCACAAGCAAAGCAAAGAAAGGGCTCTGGAGCAGAAGAATGTTAAAACCCAAACTGGGCTTGAGCTCTGAGCACTTTGTGGGAAAACATGTGGGATTGCTGCCCAGCAAACCCAGCACTGCACAGCCTGCAGGGTCGGTGCTCTCTGGGCAGATACTATGAAACCAACACATGATACCAACCCTGACCTGAGCTTGGAGTCTTACTGTAACCCATTTAAATGTCTTCTGTTTCAGGATGACATCCAAGGAAGCAAAAACATCACATGTGCACAAAACCTTTTAAACTGAAACTCCCAGCTCTGGCTTTGGGACTACAGCCACAACCTCCCCCTTTTACGCATCATGGGGCTAAAGAAGAGAAGCCAACATTTTGTACACAGTCACCAAACCAGCAAGGCTCCTCAAGTGCTGTATTTCACTTGGACACACTGAAAACTCAGCCTGCTGCAGCCTCAGGAGCCCTGTGCTGCCCTCACCTCCTCCCCCAAAGGGCATCCACCACTTTCTTATCTTACATCCCACAGAAGCACCTTCCCCAACAGCAGCAGCACCAGTATCTCCTGAATGCCTCAGATGACACTCCCAGCCCAGGCAGGTGGCTGTGTTTGTGCAATGCCTCACAGCTGACTGCTATTTGCAAACACATTTCAGATTTCCCATGTCCATCACATCCCCATCCTGGCACACGCACCAAGTTACCAAGAAACCGGGTTAAGCACTCCCAATATCCACTGGTATATCCCAATATCCACCTATAAAACGTTTTCCAGGAAAAGCTGAAGCTGTCATTAGTCAATTTAAGGCACGTAAAATCGCACGCAGCTATAACCATGCTACCTGGAAGGAAGAGAGGAGCAAAGATTCACGGAACGGCACTGGGAAG